AGTGCGGATGTGTAGAAACCAGGGGGGAGATGTAAGTTTTTTGGGTGTGAGACATGTTCCTTTCCATGGCCGTGGAATTTAATGGTGCTACAACCTATTACAACCGTCACTTCGTACGAGGTTACGGAGGACTTGTAGTCCTACTGTCTCTTCAGCTTTTCAACAGGGCTGGTGGATCCGAGGACATGAAGCACCTGCTGAGGCCCCCAATCTTTCCCCTCACAAAGGGTTGTTCGTACGGAATGCTAAGGTTGATTGTCTATAACGTCGATTAACTGATATTTGACTTGAAGTTGCCCTCTAAACCCCTCTCCCCTCTTCTTTTATTCCCTTTCCCAACACCGGAAGCCAGATTTCTCTCTCTCACGCCTCTTCTAGCTTACTCTAGACGCAGCGCGTTCGAAATCTCAAGCGTCATTTTCCCATTCTCAAGTTTCACGACCCTCACGCTCTCGAGATCCTTTACGACCCAGTCGGGCTCGGCCCCCACAACCTGTTCCACAGTGTGGCTCGTCACCAGTCCCAGGACCTTGCAGCCCGCAGCCTTGCCAGCCCTGATGCCGGCGGGACTATCTTCGAGGACGAGGACCTCCCCGGCCTTGTCTTGTAGGGTGAGCTTCTCCAGGCCGATGCGGTAGCACGTCGGATCGGGCTTGCCGTTCTCGACAGACTCGGCTGAGATGAGATGCTCAGGGGTGCCGAGCGAGAGCCTCTTGAGCCAGCCGCGGACGAGGGGCTGGGTGCCTGAAGTTACAATGGCCCAGGGGAAGGAGTGGGAGATGATGGAGGAGAGGAGAGAGCGAGCGCCGGGGATTTCGACGACGTCGTCGGCGTAGTTTTTGGGGAGCTCGGCTTCCATTTTTGTGACGTCTGTGAGCACATGTTAGGCTATTTTCTTTACTCATGATTTATGCACAGCTCTCTCTCCTGTGAGACTCTATGGGAATCTGCTCGCTCGAGGAAAAATTGCCCAATAAAGAAGTTGGGATCGCCAAGCCCAGATTCTCTGGGAATGTGTCATGTAAAGATTACTTGCGGGATTATCCACTTGGAACATGGCCGACAAGAAAGCTGCTGGTAAAGAAACAAGATAACTTACATTCCCAATTGGCTTTTTCAGGCGCAAGAATCCTCAAGATGTCTATACTCCGGCGACCATGGGAAGTCTCCAAGATGACTTCAGGGGCGACGCCGATTTCCTCACCGACTCTTTAATATCAACGTGTCAGCAGAAATCTCGTCTTTTTCTTGTGAAGAATGACTTGTGCTGTGGGATGAAAGGGTAAGAAATTACGCTTGCCAGTGTTTGACGACTGCTGGGGTAGAGTCGATGATTGTTCCGTCCATGTCAAACAGAAAGCCTGAAAATGCAACCTCCTGAGTAGGGAGGCTGTAATCCGGCTGAGATCCCATCTTGGCTGTCTAGTAACGGAAATAATGCAAGAAAAAAAGAGAAAAAAAAAAAAGCTTTTGAAATGGCGAGTGCAAGTTCACAATCCGTAAAAGCAAAGAGATGAGAGCTGATGAGTGTAGTTGGCTAAGTTCTTGAGTCGCAGATATGAGGTCTTATATAAAACAGTTCGCGAAAGCTTATTTAAGAAGAAGTCGGGATCTTGATAGATTTCCAGATTGTAAACCCCCCCCCACGTGGCAATTCCGCACTTGCGGGGCTTCCTCACAGCGTTAGACTGGCTCTACAGTAAGAGATTTTTTCCGACCCGCAAGCAAAGGCTAAAGAACGCAATGACTTCTCTTCTCCTGGGATGTCTGTGACTACGGGTTTGTTGAGTTTATTGGAAACTCGGCTAGATGTTGCGGAGTAACCAAAAACTGCAATATCAATGGCTTCTTGTTTTACACACTCCTGTATCGATACTTGGTGATTGACATTGCTTGCAGGGGATTAATGTCCAGTTGGTTCAGTAGCATCAAGCAAGTGTTTCCGCAGACGAGGACTTGTAGTATTCCTCGATGGCGCCGATGGCATCGTAGTTATAACACCAATCTCTCGTTCCCTTATCCGTGATTCCACCTGGTCCGAGCCGTTGACCAGTTGATTTACATCTTTGAACGGAGTTGCCTCTATTACTAGTATCGTTTTCCAGCGGCCAGATCTCGTCATTGTGCGAATGGCCAAGAGCTTCGTAGAGAAGCCTGCGTTCTTCTTCACTTGAAGTATGCAATGAGTCTCCACCATGAAGACTCGCCTCTTGCACGGCTTCGGCTCTCGGTTTCCGCACCGTTTCGAAAACGTGCAATGCATGTTTCAATCTCCGCGCGTCTGCTTCATTTGAGAAAGCAAAGCTGGATCCAAGAGGGCAGGCAAGGTCTAGGGCGGCTGCAAGGGCTGCTGCATCCTCGACGGCGATGCTGACGCCCATGGACATGTAAAAGGCCATTGCATGGGCAGCGTCGCCCATAAGGACGAAGCGGCCGGATTCGTGAGCCCAGGAAGGCAATGGCGGGACGGAGTAGACTGGGTAATTGGCGATTTTGGGTGTAGAAAGGTCCAATATGCGTTGAACACTGCCCCAACTCTGTATTAGTTATGGGGAGCAAGAGTTGGATAATATGACGTACCGAGGTTCAAAGTCTTTGAACAAGTCCCGGACTATCTTTCTGCATTCATCTGCAACAAGGTTCCTGGTGTCGACATCATCTCGGTGAGTGAGAACAATATTAAGCAGGGTGGCATCTTTGATCAAATATGTCATGCATGATACCTGCGGAGCAATCCAAAAGTTTGAGCTGCGAGACTGAAGGTCTACCAGGCTCGAAGTTGTTGGATCGGCTTTGAGCTTGGAGACTTTAGCCGTCATACGAAAAGCGGCCCATCCAGTTGGTTGACTACCAGGATTCTTGTTCCCCAAAAGTTTAGATCGGGCGAGAGAGTTGATTCCTGAATTAGTCACAAAGATTGGTTAATTATCAAGCTGAGCCCCTGGATCTGTTATGGGAGATGCCAACCCCCTTTTTTCGGAAGGCAATACGCACCATCGGCGGCAACAACAAGATCGGCTGTTAGTCTTTTGCCATTCCGCAGCTGGACCGCACCATTGGCGAAATCATACTCAACGACTTCGCTATCCAGGAGTAATTCACCGCCGGCTTTGATGGCGTGGCGATGCAGGATATTGTGTAAGACGGCCCGATGGACAACAATGTACGGGGCGCCGTACTGATTTTCCATTTCCTTGATTCGAACATGGCCCAAGAGTTTGCCGCTGCCCCCATCCCATACATGCAGGTTTTCAGGGATGATAGACTCCGCCAGAAGATCCCCTTTAAGACCCCATCGAAACAAGTATCTTAGAGCTTGTGGTGTCATCTGAACGCCGGCACCCAGCTCGGCAAGTTGAGGGGCAGCATCGAGAATTGTTACTTGGTGGCCAGACTGGCCGAGGGCAATGGCTAGCGAAAGGCCCGCGATGCCCGCTCCCACGATGATAATCTTCATGGCGTCTAATCACGAATGTGACTGATCAGAGAATGGCAGCGCCACAAGTTTAGCAGACTTGATATGATACGAAGAATGGTAATGGTATATGTGATATGCTAGAGCCCCATCAACAGGTCAGCATTTGTTTATCTTGGACTTTCATACGGACACTCCTCTTTCTGCCTCCTTCTTTTTGCTTTTGTCAATGCTCACAAGTGAGTTGTAGATGCGGCTCACCCAGTTCCTAATAATAGTAGTCCGATGAGCGGCACGGCGTGGTCAGAAATGATGTGGATATTGAGTGTATAGGATTGGCTCCAGCCCCGCGGAAGGCTGCCGCGTGCCGTGCCTCTTTTCTGGGCTTATTCTACTGCTGCAAGAAGAAGGACGAGGGAAAACGGGTCAATGTAGCCAAGATAACGTAGAGCTCGAATTGGTTAGCATGATGTTATCACACTGGCCGATTGTGGGTGCTGGCAGTTTGATGCGCTTGGACTGTTGGCTGTAGATGTTCGATGCCCGATTTCGCTAATGCGAGTAAGTCTTGTAGAGACTACTAAAGTACTGGGGCAAGTAGCGTAGCAGACAGGTATCTACCTAAGTAGGTAGGCAGTCCTTGAATCTGCCACGAAATGTATCCAGTGATCATATGAGAGGGTGCACTTTTGGTGTATGGTGGCTTACTTGCTGTAAGTGAGGACGTTGTACAGCTGTCTTCGTAAGATCCATTGCATGGCGTCTGTGCTCGCTGGCAACCTCGGTGTACTTGGACCCCGCCAAGCAACTTATGGTTATTCTTGGCTGGCAATCCAAGCTGCACTACTGGGTATATCCAGCGTCCACAAACAGCAGCGGCATGCACTGTAGCGGGCGCTGGTAGGTGCCCCATTACTAAAACCTGAACCGCTTGCGTCTATAGCACGCTATACCAACGGCACAAGCTACGTGTACGTGGAAGCGAGCACATCTGCCGAAGCAAGCTCCAGAGCTGCCAGTGGACTCGCCAGCTCCAGGCGGCAAAGCTCCCCCCCGTCCAGCCCTAGCGCGCTCTAGCGGTCCATCCCCCGCACCTCGGAAGGCTGCGGGTTATAATGGCGTGCGTGCCTAACCAGCAGCGACAGCACAGCGCTGTGCCCGCAATTGGAAGACCTGTCGCATGATAGCAGCTTGGTCTGGTGGCAATTGATGGCCTCTGCCAAGAATCGAGACTGCGCATCAAGGCCCGCGTGCTGTGCCTGTGCTACGTCGCAACAGCCAAGGCCCTGTACCTGATCTATAGATAACGAGTGTGTATCTACATAGTAGTACCTCGGCGGGCTCCGAACTAATGCCCTGTTCTGGGCGCGGTTCTGGTTCTGCGCAACTCGCGGAGGCGTTGCCCTAAGCGGTGCCCGTGGCTTGTTGGCTAAAAGATATTAAGGCAATCTTGGGTCCTCCAAAAGTGACGTTTCTCACCACCTCTCTAATATCTCAGAGCTGTGGCTGCTTGGTTGTCCTAAGCTGCTGAATACTCAAGGATCTGCTCTTCCTCTTGGACATACCTTATTATATATCCTATATCATGGGCTCTCAGGTGCAGGACGAGTTCACAGTGCTGGTCACTGGATTTCAGGTTTGTGTAACCGCAGCCGTTTCTCCTCATTCCGCGTTCTGGACGATGCTGACGATACTGCTCCCAGCCTTTCCGGCCTGAATATCCCGTCAACCCGTCGTGGGAAATCGCCAAATCCCTCCCAGAGTACCTCCCGGCGCGGAGAGCAAAGGACCCCAGCTCACGATATGCCGTCAACACGCCGCCCGTCCGCATTCTGGTGCATCCCGAGCCCATCCGAGTCAGCTACAAGACGGTGAGGGAGCTGGTGCCGTCCTTTTGGGAGGAGACGTATGCCGGTCGCAAGATTGATCTCGTCATCCACATTGGCATGGCCGGCCCGCGGCCCATGTACCAGATTGAGAGTCGCGGACATCGCACAGGGTATAAGAGCCCCGATGTCGATGGCAAGCATCTCGACTCGTTGGATGGGGAGCGAGGCGAAGACTGGGTTTGGCACGGCCTGCCGGAGACTCTGAGGACGGACTTGGATATGCAAGACATCTGGGAGAGGTGGCAGCAGCACAGCTCGGTAAGGCCGTTTAGTACTGGGCAATCGTTATTAGCACTGACACAAAGCTTGCCGTATGCGCATAGATTGATACCGATCTCCGAATTTCAGACGACGCTGGCCGCTATCTCTGCGACTTCATCTACTACTCAAGCCTGGCAACCTGCTATAAGCAGAACAAGCCGAGGAAAGTCTTGTTCTTCCACGTGCCTGCAGATCCTACCGAAGGGATGCTCAAGCAAGGTCATGAATTAGCCGTCAATCTCATCCGAGCCATAGTGGAGAGCGAGGTGGCGGCCCGTGATCAGAACGCGGTGTAGGCAGCGCTTTTTGGTTCTCATATTGGGCAGTTATTAGTGGTGCTTATTGGTTTTCGTACAACGGCGTTGAGGGCCTGTTAAATAGGAGAGATGGGCATCAGGAATGGAAAGAGAAGGGAAGGACTTTGTTTGGATCATGGCGACTCTGGCTGGAGGGAAAGTGGGCTTGGACGAGGTATTCCCCGAGAAAGAGGCAAACGATGGATGATAGGAAGTGATATAATGGGTACTTCAATCTGTTGTTGCAAGATTGTCAGTTGATATTAACGCAATTCATAATTCATATCTCATCTTACGATTGAACGTATCTTGCTGTAAAGAGTAGACGCCGATGCTCGTCGCAAATGGCCGCCGTCTGATTAGACTTCGGACAGGACAGGCCAAGCACTAAAGTCCCTTGTATCTTTGTACCTTGGCCGCCAAGCGGGGCTTTTCGCCGACTTGGTCAGCTTCCGTTTCTCGGCCGGCGACTACGTGCAAGAAGCTCTCTGCCACTGCGGGCTTAAACTTGCTCTTCTTTATATACTCGTCTGTTTTCTCTTTCTTGCTATAGATCTCTCTGATGAGCATTTTATAGCGATCATACATTGTTCTCTGACGCACTTTTTTTCTTTTCAAACCTTCCCACTTTCAAACAAGAAAATCTCTGCCATTATGTGTCGAAAGGCCGCTTGCAGTACTTGCAGTAAGCATTCACTCATTCTTTCACTGCATCCATCTCCCTTTCTTTTACACATATCTATAAACGGATTATCCATACTCAACCATTCTCTAGACAAAGCAACCTGGTGGGGCTGCGGGATGCACATCCCAGGTGTGCTGGACACCATCCCCGAGGAGGACCGCTGCGTTTGTGAGCCCAAGGTCGAGCGCGACGGCAAGCAGTATCCTCCCATGGCCGCATCTCCCAACTGACTCGTGGGATGGCTGGCGGGGATGGTTTTATGGGTGAAGGGCAAGAAACCGGGGTGGTCGGCGGAGGGGGTAGTTGAAGAGAACTTGAAGTAAGAAGTGTCGTTGGGGATGTGTATCTCTGAGTATTAGCTGCCAGCATGAAATGAAAGACATGACTGAGTTTAAAAGTGCACAAACAGTGTGATTGAGATTGAAGAATGATGTGTTCTTGCAGCACGCCTTTACGAGGTTGTAATCAGAGGCTGACATAACTGAACGTTGCTATATAACGCTAGAGTTTATCCAAGAAAGTCTCAAAGTATGCCAATATCCAACCAATTTAGACATGATTTCCGTGAATGTGTCCCTCGAGTAGAATAGCCAGTGCCCTATCTCCTTCTCGCACCGCCAGCAGCCCCACCATCTCCCCTCTCCGCCAGACTGACAACCTCCTGAATGCCCGCCGCCTCCTGCTCCTCTTCCAACGCCGTAATCTCCTCACGGCAATCCCACCACTTCTCCTCGGACAGCTCAAACGCCTTGGCCTTGATCTCCTTGATGGCAAGCGTCTCTGGCTGGATGTTCTTCCAGCGGAGGTTGGTCATGAGGATCTCCTGCCACTCTGCCGATGTGCGGACGAAGAATTCGCGACGAGATTCAAAGGGCTAAATTAGATGATATCGTTAGATATACAAATTGTATGAAAAAGGGGGCAGAAAATGGAACAGAATGGGGAAAGTTTACTCTTGGATGGGGCAAGCCATCATCGACTGATGTGGCAGCCGTATCGGTCTCTTCTTCTTCCGATGTAATCGATGGCGTGGGTGCCTCGGAGGAAACCTCCGATACTTCATCTTGCTTCTTCTTACGCTTGCTTGCTGTATGAAGCAGCTCAGGCTCGTCCTGCTCATCCTCATCCTCATCCTCCTCGTCTTCATCCTCGTCATCATCCTCATCATCTTCGTCATCCTCGTCCTCAGATTCCTGGAAAACCTTGGTCAGCACATTGTTCCCTTTTTTGTATACAGCAACACTTACAATCCAGTCTTCCACGGGTTTGTTAAAGATTTCCTTGTATCCATCCAGCTTCACGAGGTCGATGGCGTACAGATCGTCAAACGTAAACTCGCGATCGCCCTTTTCATAAGTACCGCCGTAGATGTAGAGTACGTCGTTCTGGACCGTTAGTTGAGCGTTGAAGCGCATATGCGGCGGCTCCATAGTAACCGGCATCTCTCTAGTGGGCTTCTCCTCCTCCTCCGGCTCCTCAAGCATCTTTTCCAGCTCGATATCGTCAGCATTCTCTAGCGAGGTTCCAGCTTGGAGCGCCGCCAGCTGTCGCAGCAGCTCTTCTTCGTTCGCCTGAGCTCGGCCACGTCTGCCGACTCGCTGTTCGGATGTATTCTTCTTCTGCTGGCGCGGCTTTCGTGCAGCGAGAGGCATGAATCTGTTTCTCTCAATGTTCCACGCAAATAGCTGATTGAAAAACTCGCTGTCCATTCCCTCCTCGCTCTGCTCGACGTCGTGGACGCCGCCGAAAAGAATACCACGACCCTTATGAAAGGCCATGGTAGCTCCGGCACGAGAAGGCGTAGGCGCATTGGCCGGCTTCTTTCGCTTCTCCCATCTTACTGTTGGAGGAGCATTTGAATTTCCCTCAGCTGGGGGCAGAGTCATTCTAAGAAAGTAGCAATCCTCATGGACCTTGGGCAGGAGAACGTTTTTCTGCCCCTGAGGTTGACTTCCTTTCTTTTGCTTTTTGAGCTGCACCGTGGCTTTGACTCTCGAGTAGCCTCCGCAAAGGACAGCTCCTTGTTCAGATGGCAGGAAGGTGAATGAAGATCGGGCATCAGGCTTGAGCTGAGCGGGCGGAAGAACGGGGCTGTGCCAGACGTAGTTGACAGTGTCGAATATCCACAAGTCTGCGAGGTACTTTGTCTGGTTGGATGTGTCCTGGAAGCCTCCAAACAGGATGACGTACTGCTTCCAGTAAGTCATCCGGTGTCCGCTTCGCGCCGGCGGGCTCTTGTCCTTGCCCTTGACCTCGATTTTGGTCCATTCCCTCGTTGCGGGCTCCAGCCTCCAGAAATCAGAGTAGTGGTGGAAAGTACCCTGCTTTGGAGATGAAAACTCTCCGCCAAACAAGTAGACATAGGCTGGATTTGACGACCTCGTCCAAGCATGACCGGATCGTGGGAGAGGTGCGTTGGGAGAAGTCACACAGCGCCACTCATCGCGGTTGATGTTGTATATGTGCAGATCATTGAAGAATTGCGCAACGGAACCGTTAAAGTACTCTCCTCCAAACAATAGCAGACTGTTGTTCTCATGAGGAGAAGCCATAATGGTAGACGCTGATCGGGGCTTTGGTGGCCCGTCGATAACCGTCTCCGTAATTTTCAAGAATTGCTCCTGTTGGCGGCGATACTCTTCCAGCACCGCATCCAAGTCGACATCCTCGGCATCGCTGCCCTCAAGCTTGGCGGTCTTGCTTTTGATCTTTTTCTCTCCTTTGCTGGCCTGCTTGGCAGCTTTCTCAGCCTACATGAAATTCGGTCAGCGAATGTCCCATGGAGGGGCAGCACTTGGAGGGGTAGTGATGAATAGAGATTTTTCTGAATTGATGGCTACCTTTTTTGCCTTTTTGGCATCCGAGCCGCCCTTCTTCTTATCTTTGGCCATGGCTAGAGTATTTTATTTTCTAAACAAATCGGATGCTATAGCTCCGCTTGAGGACAAGGAACGAAAAGAGTCTCTTTCGAGCGGGCCGCGTTGATTGGTAGAGAGGTCTAAGAAAACCCTTCTACAGTACGTAAATATTTTACAAACTGTGCAACTCGATCTTAATTGATCAACACAGGAAACAGCATTTGCCACCAACGTCATTCAAGAAAGAGTCTCGCGAGCTTTTTACTCATATAACATACTGAATAAGTTTGGGATATGTGTAAATAATATATACTCTGGTATAAGTATAAATCCTTTGCTCAAACACTGATGAAGACGCTCATAATCATACATGTCATAGATGAAGTGGTGAGGACTCATTCTTCAGACGCTGGTGAAACTTCTCCCGGAATATAGGCGCCCATGGCCTTGCTGGCCCCCTCCACGCAATATTGAATAACTTCAAGCTTTTGTCCCCCTGGTGCGAGTTTCGCAATCTGGCGAATGTCGCTTGTTCTTGGGAGGAACAGCAGGTGGTCCATTTTCTTATAGGCTTCATGTAGCTGGTTCAGGCTATAGGGCTGCATCGTACTCAGATCAAAAACCTCATCAGTTCTATATCCAGGCCCACCCCATGGAGGGCTGGCAAAGACCATGGTGGTCTGCAAATCAACTCTCAGGTCCGGATGTAGCGTTTCTGGTGAATTGACGAGCTTATCAACATAGTCAAAGCTGTCGCCGAGGATCCAAGTAATTGCATCCGGGTCAACGCCGTACAGCTCAGCGTTATGCTGGGCGCAAGCAAGCGTATCAGCGTCACGTTCGATGGAAATTATACGTTCCCATCGCTCGGATAGAGCAAATGCAATTGTATTGCCCCCAGCGCCACCAAAGGCATCAATCAAGGTAGTCTTCTTTGGATCGTAGTGGTCTTCAGATAATTCGTACGCAATTTGGCTGAGAAGAATTAGCGAGCATCATAAAGAAATCTCATAGGGCACTTACTTTGCTACGGGTTCGGGTGTGACACCAAACCACGCGTCATCCGTCATATAAACTCCATCATCATAATATGAGAAGATGGAGTATCGTTGACTGAAGTATCTATAAGGCTAGTTAGCACAATGAGTAGGGGTAGGTATTTCTTTCTTGGTAACAAAGAACAGACTTTTGGATGTCCCAGGGGACTTCATGCTGGCCTGCGTAGTGATGGCATTTTTCTGTCAGAGGAAGCCTTTCTGCTGGTTTTAATGAGAAGCCGGAAGGCTCCGCGGTATCATTGGCGCCCAGGTCGGCCATATTGAGGTCCAGTGCTGCTTGGCTCTCTTCTGCTAATAATTTAGTCAGGCAGGCCACATCTTCTCTTGCTTGGGGATTGTTCTCAAGGACGTTTCTGATAATCTCCCACGCAGCTTGAGGGATCTGCCTGGCCTGCGGCAAGAAGAGCTGTGCAGTGGGTGCATCGATGAAAGGGCCGAGGGTATCTCGCGCAAGTTGTAGCTCTACGGAATTTGTCGGCTCATTTTCAGTTAGAGCCATGCTGGCGTTGCAAGAGTCTATTCAATATGAAATCCGTGCCGAAATTGAGTGAAGTAATGGAATAAGATAGATTGATGAATTCTGGAGTAAGACGCGTGGACAACCCGGGTCGCGCAGGGCCGAAGTCGGTTATTATATACCAGATATCGACAACGAATGAGAACTATTTTGATAGAAACTTAAGATTAGATGAATCTGAGAGGCATAAGATGATTTTCCCTGTTGATAAAATAGTATGTAGGACGACAGGTGAATTTCAAGACGAGGCTGAGAATGTAGCAAGAATGCTAGTGCAATCAGATCCACCCCCAATTCCGCTTTTTAAGCCACTAGTGCCTTGGCACTTATGCAAGGCTGTCATCTCAAGGGACAGCTTGCGGCAAGCTCATTTGGTGAGCTTCGACGTCACTCTTCTTTTTCATTAAGCTCATAGCACCAGACTCTCATCTATTCCTCTTCTGCATCCACCAAAAATACTTATACTTTAGCTTTGCATAGCGGCGAGAGACACTCCGGCGACCATGTTTAACGCCCTGAACCGGTTCATGTCTCGCCTGGATGGCGATGCCCCGCAACATCAACATGATCGCGACTCGTTTGGCTTCCAGGTGTTGCGGAACACGAACCTCGACTTACCAATTGAGCCCTGGTTTGATTATATCGTTGGAATCAACGGGAGACCAATTGTATATACCAATCCCGTCTGTCTTTCGCGTGCGACAGAGTGCTGATTGGCGCAGGATAATCCCGACCCAAGCTTGTTCGCCCAAGAAGTACAAAACTGCGCCGGCGGAACTGTAACTTTTGGACTGTGGAGCGCAAAGGTATACATTGGTTCTTCAATCTTAAACGCCAAAAGAGAAGAGAGCGACGAAATCTGACATTATTTGACTCTGAGCAGGGCCAACGTATAAGAGAACTGCATATTCCCGTGCCCGTGGACACCGCTTCGCTCGGACTGTCTCTTCAGTTCGCGCCCATCTCGCTCGCGGCCAACATTTGGCACGTGCTTGATGTACCAGCCAACTCACCAGCGGATGTAGCGGGACTGTTACCTTACAGCGATTACATCCTTGGCAGCCCCGAAGGCGCATTGCATGGTGAAAGTGCTCTTGGAGAGCTTGTCGAAGATTTTATCGGACGACCGCTCCGATTATACGTTTACAATAACGAATACAACGTCGCGCGCGAAGTCACGATACAGCCTAGCCGAAGCTGGGGCGGAGATGGAGCTCTGGGATGCACCTTGGGCTACGGCGCGCTGCACCGGTTACCAGCTCCGTTGAGCGAACCCGTCAACGCTCCTGGAGAAACAATGTTCGATGGGGAGTTTAACGAGAAGAGGTCAAACGAATACATCTCAACACAAACTAGCACCCCGCCGCCGCCGCCTACGGGAGGCGACTTTTTGGTGCCCGCCCAGATTGTTGATTCAGCGCCTACGAGTGCGCCTCCACGTGGTGGTACGCCGCGAGGTGGGAAGAAGAAGGAGCGTCATGTTGCCAACAATGATTTCATGGACGACTACCTCAAGGAAGAAGAACAGAAGAGTATAGCGCTAGACAATGCGCCGAAGAGCAAAGGCACAGGTCTGCCGCCGCCTCCCAAGGGAGCTGGTGGTCCACCAAAGGCCGAGCCAAAAGGAGATGAAGTTGATAGTGGCGGAGCGTAGAGCATGAACTTGAACTTGATATATTTCTCTTAAACGAAAAAGACTCCTTACTTGCTTGGCTAGGATCAAACTTGCTTTTTCTCTTTCCCTCTAGTAAACTCTCTCGTAGATATGATTGAGGAATTCGCCATGTTTTATACGGCCAGCGCCATATGCTTTATTGAAGTCGCTATTCCGCCACGTAATTTCCGCACAACTGCTGCTCCGACAGTAGCTCCGACCGCTGTTTAGTTGATGAAGTTGACACAGAAGAAATGCAGTATCAGACTGCAGACAACGTAGTCGGCAAATGCTCTGTGAATCGTCTGTTAGCACAACGACTAGGATGCGCGCACAATTACATGTTGATATATATTCTCTGCTTAGTGGATTGGATGATTATGTGAATCGTACCGTTCAGGAGATACCTCTGGGAAATCGCTCTTGTTCGCGGCCGCCGTCTGTATACGTAGCGAGACTAGCTTTTTGTTAGACACTGTTGATCGATCGATTCGGTAGGTAAGATATAGGTATGAAGACGTACTTGTCAAGACAAACTGTCCAACTGTTGCTCCAAAACCAGAGAGAAAAGCATTGAAGGGCTGCGACGAAGCATTAGCACCAAATCAACCCTCCCAAAGAGCACATCATCCAGCTCTCCTGCTACGTACATAATTGCCGGCCAAGATACAGTAGAGGAATTGCAGTGCGCCCACGACGGCGATGAAAGCGAGGAACACGTCGATGAGCTTTGTTCGCTGTGGAGTTTCGTTCATGTAATGCTGGTAAATGTTCTGCAGCACTTTGTCCCAGTTCGCCGGGGTGTTCTTCGCCAATGTCGATGATGGCTTATGTTGAGCCGCAGGGACTGAGCCCGCGGTTGTGGTGTCCATTTGGGTGGTCGCAGCGGCTGAAGGAGCCGGTTGGGCCGCGTTCTTCTTGGGGGCCATGGCGGGCGAGTTTGGGCAGAGCGTGCTGGGTTTGGCTTTGGAGAGGAATTGAAGCTCGTGATGATATCGATTGATATTCGGCTGCTTGGAAGCACTTTAGTCTGGCCTCCAAGGTACTTTGGTACAATTGCGGCCACGAAAGCTCCAAGCAGGTCGGCGAGCTGTGATTGGCTCGGAATCTTGGAATCCTGGGGGGCCCCACGTGCCCTGATCTGTCAATCACGTCAATGCGTTTGCGGCCTCACTCGATTCCGAGCACCGACGCCCTCGGCATATAAAGACACTCCATCTTGTCCGTCTCGAGAAATTGTATTAAACTTGAGGCTCAAAGCTGAGAAAAGCCATTCATAATTTTTTCGCGATCAAACACACTTCATCATGGTGAGTCATTGAGGCTCAATTGCTCGGCGTAGAGCTGGAGAGTTGGCGGGGCGCAAATCGACTGACATCAATCTCTGTACTATAGGCGGCAACATCTAACCCTCTGGCTACTACATCCTTTATTCTGGGAACCGTCACTTTCGGCGGCGGTGCCATTGGATTTGCCAGAACTGGCTCTGTTCCCTCTATTGCCGCTGGCTCTCTGGTTGGCCTCTTGTGTATGTGATTCACCAGTCTCAGCTGCTGACCTAGCTAACGTGTCTTGTCAGATGGCGTCGGTGGATATCGCACTGCCACCAATGCGAGCTACGGCGTTGAACTGAGCTTTCTCGCCTCCGCCATCCTGGGATTCTCATCCATTCCTCGAGCAATCCGCGGCAGGAAGCCTGTTCCTATTGTGCTCAGCATCATCTCACTCTTTGGCCTCTACACTTTTGGCAAAGCGCTGCGCGCGGCTGCTTAACTGGGGAGCATTCTGGCGTATCCGTGTAGTGGAGAGAGATAGAATATGTTTAGCTATTAAATAAATCTCAGCAATTCGTTAACTCCCAAATGAGCACCAAACTTGTTTTCAAGTGGTCTCTTTCATGCTTCTTGAAAGAAAGAAAGAAAAAAAACTTGTAAATTGATAAGGTAAAATGGCTATTCTTTTTGCCACCAGTTTGTCCTTTTTTTGTTTTCCAACGCCGGTCGTGAGTAACATAATATGGCTATATAATACAAGAATAGAGAAGCAAAGATGTATGCATAGACTTTTGCAGTAAGGGTTGAGTTGGGAGAGCGATAAGATGAAGGGTGCCTTGGCGTATATATGTCTCTTAGAGGCCCAACTCTCGCTGCTGTTCCTTGAGCTTATCTCGCTTTGCTCTCGCAGCGGACCTGTTCTCGGCTTGCTTTGCGGATCGCGCCTCTCGCAGACACTTGTCTACCAGTCTCTTCTCATCGTTGCAAGCGCCTGTGGCTTTGTGCATGAAGCCCTTTGCGTGGCATTCTTCGAGAGCGGCAATAATGTCTTCGCAAGCTGGGAGACGGCTGTTAGAAGAAAAGGCGGCGATATAATTGCTTTGAGGAAACATGTATTCTTACGAAGAGCATTCATTGTGTGCAAAGGAGGATGCATTTTGAATTGATCGTAGCGCAATCGCAGAATTTGATTTAATGTACTTTTGTAGTGGAGCGAATCGAGTATTTCGTAGGCGGATGTTGATCTGGAGAAAAGCTTGGGCGGCTTGTCTCGCTGGGGCTGCCCGCTGATAGCGATGCCAGTGCCGGGAATCAACCGGTGCTGAGGTTGCAATGGCGCGGGATGGCCACAGAAACTCGACCTCGACATACATCGCGCATCATAGAGATAGCGGGCCTCTCTCTTCGGGCTTCTGTATCTTTTTTTCTCTTTTCCACAGCGATCATCATGTCGTCATCACAGCAGGTTCCTGCGAAGAAGCAGCAGGGTATGTGCTCATCGGAAGGAGACAGAGTTTCTTTTGCCCTACTCCCAACTCCAACCTCTCCGCTATCTCTCATCTCATTTTCACTGTGCTGACGATACTCTAGATCTCCAAACAACTTACTCGAATTTCAAGAACACGCTGCAGCAAATTGCTTCAAAAATCGGCGACATTGAGCAGGAAGCTGAAGAGCACAAGTGCGTTTTCCCCTTTCACTTGCTCTCCTTTCACCTTTTCCCTTCCCCTATTCTGGTGCTTCATGTAACGACTTTTGGCCCCCGCGCTTTCTCGCCAGGTCTCACATCTGCCCTATTCATGGCCCCCATCATTACGCCTCACTGCAGTCCTACATATCGTTATCACACCGCTGATTTAATTACTATTCTAGGCTGGTTCTTGAAACCTTGGAGCCGCTTGCAGAAGATCGAAAGTGTTTCCGTTTGATCAATGGTGTGCTCGTAGAGAGAACGGTGAAGGATGTGGTACCGGCATTGCAAACAAACCAGGAGGGGCTAAAGAAGGTCCTTGATGATTTGGTAAAGCAGTACAAGAACAAGCAGGATGAGTTGGATAAGTGGAAGGTTTGTTCCATGTCTTTCTTCATGAGTCAGCAGCCAGCTAATCTATGCGTCATGCCAACAGAAAAAGAATAACGTCCAAGTAGTGCAGCAGTGAGAGAAACGCACAACAGCTTATCGCAATTAATAAAAAAAGAAGGAAAACAAGGCAAATCTCAGCCATATCAGATTTCAAGTTCTCACCCGTGCGGTTACTAAGCAAGAGCATGACCATCTATCAGCAACTATACAGAATCCATCATCCATCATCCACAGCCCACATTCGATTACTATGGATATCCTCAATGCATTGCTGATTCACGATATCAACAACATGATTTTCACTCCATCATTCAGTTTCATTACGCAGCATGATTCACTCATACGTGGCCATACCCCCTTGAGGACGCATAAAGCAAATCTTGGCATTCAAAGGATCCTATTAATGCCCGGCTGTTCAGCCCCTCGGAATTCATCCCTGTGCTGATGGCGCCTCAGTGCCCAACGACATGCAGTCTCAACCTTGCTGCAGCCGCACCTCTGAACAATGATGCAGCACATGAGGGCTGATTGCATCGATGCATGCAAGGATCCATGGACGCGATCCTGAGTGTCTTTTAATGATACATGCAGTATGTGTAATTTGATGGATTTGCAATCTCGAGGAGGCCTGGATGCGTACAAGTCACTTTACATGGCCAACATCCTTCCCAACGGAAGCGCCATGCCGGTGTTGGCCTTGCTGTATATCACACCAGCGAGTATATCCGTCACCGAACCTATATTCCCATGGACTGCCTGAAGGAGGATACGCCTCGGAAAATTCGTCACCATTGCATACCTGTATGCCGTATGACCCAGCGTAGGGATGTCGTTGCCAAGTGGCAAGCTACGACGAAAGCCTTGTTTGTTTTTTCCTTGCAAATAATCCGACAACGAAGTGCTGCCACACTCCTCGACTTACCCAACATCGAGGCTTAGAAATCGTAATCCATACACACGAGAATTTTAAAGGACGTACATACGGAGTACATGGAGACCCATCCACAAGGTATCAAGTCCGGCTTAAGAATGCAGGAGTGGGGTTCTCAATCTGCCGTCCATCTTTCCCCCTCCAACGGCTCGTGTGTTTGCTTGTGACACCTCGTTCGAAACTGCGTTCTTGAAAGAAGCGTGGAATGGTTTCTAGAATGTTACGTCGCTTAGCCGGAGTTGGACAGAGAAGCCCGCGCGCAAATGAAAGAGAGAGAAAAGGGCCGCTAGGTACTAGGGATATGCATCGATGGGGACTCGCCGGCTTGAGTGTGCCTTGGGTGACCATTGGGGGCTGCTAATTGCTAGTAGCGGATACTGACATGAGGCGATTTCTGCGAACTGCAGCTGTGGAGGCTTCAAGTAACGGCTTACCTCGTGTGAGTATTACAGCCCATCTTGGTGTAACCACCTTCACCGACAACGCTGCGCCTACGTACTGTGTGCTTGTACTTGCTGCCATTAGGCATTGCTACAACGAGATGCGTGACTCTCTCTCTCGCTTTTCTTTTACACACACGCAAATACCTAGAGAGAGAGAAAAAAAACCCCCCCCAACCGATGGAGGATAGAAGTGCAGACGCAGGAAGTTATCGATTCGGCTTAGCTTGCCTGCGGCATCCATCCCGAATAATATGAGGTGCAGTGCCAGGTATACTACGTCGAGGCCATTATTGTGTGCATCGATGGAACACAGACCATTCACGCGTACTATGTCTTTTGCTTCGTGCCCAAGCCAGTGCTGCTGGGCTTCAAGCCAACTCATCAGCCATCCATCCATCAAGCAAGCCGGCTAGCCATCAGCAATGTGCAGGGACAAGGGCAGTACAAAGAGCAAAGACAATTTTCCCTTGCTGCCCAATCAGTGAACGGGTCTCACCTTTGATAAAGTGAACCGCGATATGGCAAGGCACAGCGAGCGTCTCAGGGAGATTGTTTCGAGCTGCTTCAAATGGGTGAAATGCCGTCTTTTCAGAGGTTACCACAGAATGCATGTAGCCGCCTCTGGCGGATCTGTACCTGGTTCATAAAGGACCAACAGGCTCGCCGTCTCGTGCCGGGAGCGTCACCATTGGCCCAAACGGCTGCCCAATGCCCGAGTAGTTTTCGAGAGCCGGATCGTGGTTCGCGGTGTTCCGGGTCGGTCAATCAGCCAACCACTGGGCAGACACTGAAATGCGGCCCAATGACTTGTCAACTCTGGTTGGGGGCCCGATTTCAGCCACCGGGTTCCTGAGGGAGAGGCTTGCTTTAGCGGGCGCTGGCCATGGCCTGCGAGCCATTGTCAAATGAGCAACCGCAGGAGCCCACCATCTCAGTACCGTCGTCGTGGGCTGGCTTGCAGTCGTTTTTTCTTTGCGGCGGCGACGTCACAGCCGCGAGGCTGGTTGGACATGCATCGTGAAATACCGCCGGCCAGGGTAGCTGATACAAGGAGCACCGCTTTTCCCCTCTGCTACTGGACAAGGACAGGGGTGGCGGGGGTTTTGTTTTCCGACTTCCCATGTTTCTGTTGATATCCTTTGATTTTGGTTTCTCCCGATGGAGGTAACTCAGCCATCCGAAGGAGCTGTAGGTGACTGATACTGCGGATAGCTGCTCAACTCACCGCCTCTGATGACCTGGTGCAACCCTCTTTTGACGACCCGGACGAGGATCATTAGTCCTGGGCTGCTGTTGGTCGTGGCTAGAGCTTATATGAGATGCCCCAAGCTAGGATTACGTCGAGCTACTTAGGATAGGCGTGTCTGTGGTCTGGTGATTTGCGCATGCTGCTCGTATAAGTGTGGTGGGCCTCTATCCTTGAGCGAGATGCTGGCGTCAAGCACTACGCAAGCACCAGACTGTTTTACTGATGAGTAGTAGAAATCTCTGTGTACGAAGGTAGTAGACGAGTCATTTGCGCATCAATACAAGATTCTTGAACAAGGGACTATGGAGCTATCGCTCCAGGGGCACTCTGTGATCGGATTTCTACGCCGTGTCCATTAGACGCAAAGCTTTTCTTGGTAGCTGAAGCTTCCCTAACCCGCCTGTAATGAACAGTACCGTCCAGTCAAGTAGCGGAATACGCCCAGCTCAGCTCTGGATACCTGCGCTGCTAGTACAAATCGAGGAGCTCAAGGTAGCTCGGCTTTGGGGCCATGCTGTCCGCTAATGTAGTTGGTCATTCAGCGTGCAGTAGGCTATGGAGGGGTACCTTGGGCGATTGGCTGCCCCCATTATCGATAAACCTGTACGGGAACTGTCACTGTCGCAGCGCCCACCCAATGCTTCGCCTTGGGTACAGGGCTAGCTGCGCAAAGTACCGCGCTACCTCGCCGCCAGGTTCCCGCTGCTATTCCGGCCGCCAACATCGCGCTGCTGTCGACCACTAGCCTCGTCCTTCTTTTTCCTCTTTGCACTCCACAGCCAGATGCACCCACGCCAGCCGCATAGCAAACAGCTCAATACACCCTCCTGTGCGCATCCCGCAAGCCGTAAGGCTCCCTAGACTCCAGACTCGCCCGGCGAGCATCTCGTCCTGACGCAGTTGACAGACCCGGAACCCTGCGCTCTTGTGTAACCTCGCCGCGCCACCGCAGTCAGTCCGTTGCCGTTTGCAGGCGCGAAGACCTCGTCTGTCCAACGCGCACTCCCCCCCGTCGCCGAACTTCGTCACTGCCGCGGCGTCTGTCGTCCGGGCCGGAGACCTTGAAGCCATCGAGATCCTGGGCGTTGCAAGAGTCAGAAGACAAAGGCCCACGCTGAGAAGCTGCGCTTGATCCACTCACGCCCTTGTTGGAGCACCGCCGGACGAACCTGCCTTTTGTTTTGCTCCCCTCTCCCAATCGACTGGAAACTCTTGCGATTGCGGGCCCTGGTGTTTTTTTTTTCTTACCGTCGCCCACCCCTCCCCCTCCAATAATTCCCCTCCAACCAGGCATATTCTCTCCCAACCGGCTTGCCAGCCCATACATACATCCATACATCCATACATCCATACGCCAAGCGAGCGTCATAGCTCCAGAGTCCTTCAGTCAGGGCAGACCCAAGCCTCCCGCAGCCAAGATCCCTCGCGGGCTGTGACGATTGACGCATCTTGTACTGCACACGCCCCTCTCGACGTATCAGGCAAGCCTCACCTCTGCGACGTGGCCAGGGGGACACATCATCGCGAAACCTCCCGAACTGTACCAACCCGAAGATTATACAAGACGCTAGCAGCCGCTGCAGGTAGCCAAATATGTCCGACTCCCCTCAATCTCCTCCAAAGGATGTCGACCAAGGTGCACAGTCACCCGACGAAGAGCAAATGAATGATAACCAAGATCCCCACGCCGGAGCTGGCTATGAGTTTGAAGGTGTCAAGGAGCAAGACCGGTGGTTACCTATAGCCAATGGTATGTCTTTATTGCCCCCCCCTGGACCGCCATTCTCGAATCACGATTGCTCGCCTCATGCGTGTCGAGCTGCCCATTCCTTTTTTCCTCAGCCTTGCATAGCTTTCCTATGTCTCACTCTTCTTTCTCCAATGTGTCGGAGGCGTCGCGGGCGTCCAAGACGGACAAATCTGATGAACTAGATGCTAACATTCGAAATTTTGCGCCAGTTGCTCGAATCATGAAGAATGCCCTTCCTGATAATGCCAAAATTGCAAAGGAGGCAAAAGAGTGTATGCAGGAGTGTGTTAGCGAGTTCATCTCCTTCATTACTAGTGAGGGTACGTCTATGCCATCCTGGCTTTTCTTTGAGGAGTCTCTTTTCCCATGGCAATACTAACATCATTCATCTTAGCTTCCGAGAAGTGCCAGCAGGAAAAGCGCAAAACCGTCAATGGAGAGGATATTTTGTTCGCCATGACTTCCTTGGGCTTCGAGAACTATGCTGAAGCTCTTAAAGTGTATTTGTCCAAGTACCGCGAAGTAAGCATCTCTTCTGCCGCGATTCTTCTAGAGAGGGCATATTTTAACAGAGTGATGTGAAACTAGCAACAAAACCAATCGAACCGAGAGCGCGTTATGGAGAACAATAACAATAACTGGGGGGGCGCCATGATTCCTGGCGAAAAAGCTGAACCTGGCCCATCCGGTGCCGAGTATGCTGCTCCTGAAGCAGCAAATCCCGCCGAGAGCGCTGCCGAACCGAACTACATGTATGCTTCCCATGCCGGCCATAATGGAACAGGTGCTGGTGAAGGCTACTAAGAGAGCTTTGCTGGAGGGCTGAGACTGGGCCAGTTGACAGCTTCTACCGGCGGCAGTCGGCTGAGCCTCTCTTCCAATTGCCAGAGATCCTACCGACCTTGGCCTACGACACAACTTCAGGATCTCACATGACTACTGGGGTTACAGCTATCAGCTCAAAACTCGACGTGTATAAGTACTAGCACGAATTCTTGGCTTATCTGACTTGGACTTTACAACATTATCGGCGTACATGAAGTGTGAAGGGATTGGGCAACAACGAGAGGAGATGAACTATACAATTCCGCAACTCTCTCGTTAAAAATGTATGGATTCGACTCTTTTTTTCTTTTTTTCTTTTTTTTTATCCGTCTTTCTTTAGTTCTTGGAATTCAGCTACAGATGGGCGATCAGACAATTAGATTCTACCCTCGGAGCTTTACCTGTCGACTCAGGAGCGGTCTTGAGATGCGGCACACATCTTTTTTTTTTCGGCAGTAGGGAATTAAGGGCTTGCCAAGCAGGATAACGGATATGCATGGGGTCCAGATTGTGAATTTACGGAGTTGGAACATCAGATATGGCCTGTTACCACATTACAAGTATGTCCATTTCACACAGGGCCTCTCTGGAATATTTCTCGTGATTTGACTGCCCAGTAATGACGTATGTGACACTCATGCAGCCCCTGCTTTGCTGTTGGCGATCCGACGTAGTTCATGCAGCCACTTTTGATACGTCCAATGCCTGTCTCTTCCGGCAATCCTTGCTTCTAGTGACTCGTCCGCCGTACAATGGTAGTCAAGTAATACTGCATCACGATAGCGGTAGTTCGATTCCTTAGTAGCCCTTCGTATGACAGAATATGATAAGAAGAAAAGAGTCTCAAGTTAGGAATGAGATGTGACTATTGCCTGGTAGCACAACAGCACAATAGATAGGTATTATGGCAAAGAATTGTAGGTACATCTCCAACGAATGCCGAGATAAGTATATGCTCGGTACAAAGCACTCCGTAGGTGGCGCAAAAATATTCCAGACTCCGAAGCGCCGCACGGACCAACCGAGTGCTGCCTAAGCCGACTTGGTTGCGAAGCACGTGCGGAGACCCCACTTGATTGAAAATCTTCCCTGCTGCCGATTAATGTGCAGGAAAAAAAGAATCCATGTTGCCCAGCACTGACGTTGCCACAGCTGTCTAGGGTTCTCTTTCAGCATCATCCATTCACCTGCGTTTCAGTTCACAATCATCTCGTATCCTTACAGCGCGGCGAAGCTCAAGTCATGGGCCTCAGCCTATCCGAGAGACTGGTCGTATCGCTAAGAGCCCTATAGCTGGGTATGATTGTTTTTCCAGATTTTTTCTTGCATTGCTAGATTCCCCATAACGAGCCTCACGACAATTCGCCCCCATTCTCGCCAGCGCCTCGCTGTATTCTTAACCACCATCGACTGTTGATACCGCCTTCATGCGACCATTCAGCCCGGCGCCTAGAAGCCTCACTGGCACTCTGCCCAGGAACACTCCCCCGGTGAAATCCATACTCAAGCCCTCTTCACTTCTGGGCCGCAGGAAAGAACAGCACGAACAGCGCGGCGAGAGCCCCGAGGCTCAAGACGCGTCTAGCAAACGGCGCAAGGTCTTCTTCGACGATATAAAGAATGTGACGTACGAAGTCGGCCGGCGGACCATGGACGAAGTAAAATTAGAAGTGCGGATGGCGCTGGAGGCCCACCTGCGAGGAGATGACGGCCAGTATGATGGGTTGAAGGAGATGTTTGCCAACGATAAAAAGAGATATCTGCCGCCGATAGTTGGAGAAGAAGAGGATACATTGAAGCCTCACGAACTTCAGGTTTACCTCATGGCGTTGACAGGCTGTATTCCCATCTTAAAGAGCAAGGACTGCAATGGTCTGGTGAAGGCGATCCTCAACTGCTCATGGCTAGGGCGAGATGCAGCCTTTGTCAAAGTATTTACACATTTTCTCGCCGCTCTAGTCAGTGCGCAAGGCTCCTATCTCAACCAAGTCCTGAATATGATTGTGGGCAAATTCCACGACACGCGCCCATCCGCGTGGCGAGTCCCTGACTTCCCCGAGGTCTCGCGTGCCACGATGCGCGAGAGGCTGCACTCGACTCTACAGTACCTTCTCAGGATGTTTCCATCCGCCATCTCCGTTTTAGAAAATCTGCTTAGAACCAAATTTCCGTTCCTAGACGATTCGATGAGAGTCCACATGGCCTACATCCACAACCTCCTCCAAGTCAAGGAGTACGTGCCTGATCTGGCGGAAGATGTTTATGATATGATACTCGATCGCGTTGTCAAGATCGACTCGCAGATGCAGCTGGATTTGGAAGACACGGACGATGACATCACAGCCGCCGTCATGTACGCGCTGCGCGAGAACGCTCAGCAAGACGCGGCGGGCTGGGAAGACGAGGCGGATGACGATAGTGATACCGAATCTGTTGATAGCGACGACTTGGATTACGATCAAGATGCCGTTCGGATCAAGACTCTCAAGGACAGCGTGGAGAAGATGGATTCGATGCTCGATACGCTTTTCGAAGTCTACACGCCACACTTTGCAAACCCTGGGTCAGATAAAGCGTTTGACATGTTCACGACGATCCTACGCGAGTTTGATCAGATGGTGTTGCCGACATACAAATCACGACATACACAATTTCTTATCTTTCATTTCGCACAGCAACACGAGCGGCTGACCGACGCCTTTTGCGGCCAGCTTATCGCCAGTGCCTTTCAGAGCAATACACCCAACATTCTGAAGCAGGCCGCTGCCGCCTACCTCGCAAGCTTTGTTGCTCGGGGAGCACTCGTACCGCGCAACCTGGTGCGTACAATATTTATGCTTTTGATCCATCACCTGGACCAGTACCGCCGGAAATATGAGCCCCTGTGCCGCGGTCCAGATCTCAAGCGATTCCACCCCTACTACAGCCTCGTACAGGCTACCCTCTACATCTTCTGCTTCCGCTGGCAAGACTTGGTGGTGTCTGCCCCGGAGTTTGTCGACCCCGAAGACCCAGCATCCTACATTGGCCAAGACCTTGAGTGGATTGGGACGGCAAGAAAAGATCTTTCGACACACATCTTTGGCAAACTCAATCCATTAAAGGTCTGCGCACCTGTCATCGTCGAGGAGTTTGCCAAGCTGGCACACCGACTCAATTTCATGTATGCGTATCCGTTGATTGAAAGCAACAAGCGCATCCGCTTGACACAGTTCTTGTCATCAACTTACTCCACTGGAGGCGCTCTGCGAGATTCTGGTTTTGATAACCAGGAGGAGAGCTTTCATCAATTGGACCCATACTTTCCATTCGACCCATACCAGCTACCGGTTAGCAAACGCTGGCTTACAGAAGATTACGTGAACTGGAAATCAATCCCGGGCCTGAACGCGGAAGACGATGAAGACAGCGACGACTTTGAGGATGATGAGGACGATGATGCCCTGGAGGGCCTTGAGGAGGGCACCGCTACTGATAGCGAGGGTGACTACTCAGAGTAAGAGCCCCGATAAACGAATGTGGACAGACGGATATACCCGAAACACGGTGCGATGGATGAAACTCTTGTCGATTTATTTGGAATATCTTGCACATCTCGGAACTCTATCCATGCTATGCTATTTCAGGAGTTGCTAGGACATAGTCCACTATATACTAGGACAAAAAGGAGGAGGGAGGGCCCGCATCGTGCTTATTTACAAAAAAGAGCATATGGCCTCTAGGGCGCATCAGTGGCATTCCCTTTTTTGGCATGCTGCTATTGCCGTTTTCACGTTACTGCGGCTTTTGTTTTTGTTCCTTTTTCTTAGCGAGGAGTTGGCAAACCGGAACAGTTGCTTTTTATGCGCCTTTTGATTTTGAGTTTCATCGTTCGATGCATGCTGCAGTCGTACGTAGCGTTGGTGCAAGGGTTGATTTGAATTAAATGAATATAAAAAGTTACCTACTTCATCCTACTTATTCAAGATGCATGTCCCTTGTCGTATGCTTCAGCCATACTCACTTATTATAGTAGCTAATCTCTCACTATAAATAGTACGCAGGAAGTAATATGTGGCTGTTTTATATTGCCCATCTGTCAGAAAGTGGCAGGCGAATAGCGGAGAAAAAGGTTGTCAGAAAAGTATTTCAAATACTTTGCATCTCGGTTCGCTTATGGGGATTTAGCAGTGGGTTACAAATACTACACTATTTTTGTTCTTTGTTATCAGCATCATGAGAAGGAGTGCATATACTATATCCAAGCGCTGCAACGTTATAGGAGCTAAGGCTGTATTTCTTATACAAAAGTTAAGCCGACCGTACTGTTGTAGATTGGCTCTCTCATTCACTATTTGAGATTTTTAGTCGGCGTAATCCTCTCTTCCGGGCCTCTAGAAACGATGTAGTAATACTTCCTGCTTATCAGGATGTTTGTCAGTGTTTATACCCCGACTATTACGACGGGATATTTTGGGTTTCGTCGGCATTTAGCGTCTTGGGTTCTCCGAGGGGTGGTAGGTACCCGGTACCTTTGAAGCCTCGGATGGGACTATCGGGATGAGATATTTGGAATGAAGGAATAGTGCTGCAGCTTAGAATTCCACTGCTATAGTTTACAGAGCAGGCACTGTAAAACCGCTGACTGTATAGTCTGGACGCGCGCTAAATGCAGAAAACCGTCAGCAGTCTTCAGCGGCTGCTTTTTGGCATCCAATGAGAAAGCAACGCTAAGCTCGCTAACAAGCGATCAATCCATTCTGCAACGTCAGTTTGTAGTATGTAGTACTGAAGCAGCACTGCCAGTGGTAAGTTCAAGTTCTTAGATCCTCAGGTGTTAAAGTAGCAGATACCTGGAATGGCCCGCTATCCGGCAATTGGCGGTCTCAAACGCTCACCCGCAAAACGAAGCCGACTAAAATGCAAATCGCCAGCCTTTTCAACCTTTCCTTTTGCTACCTTGACCACGTAATTGCGTTTAGCTCGTGAAAGACGAAAACTCTTCCCCCCCCCCTCCTTCGCATAGGACGGCAGCACGCGACAGCCGTTCGGAGATTATTGTTGCATCTGGTGGACAATTGCTCGCAGCAGCTCGAAGCTTGTCTTGTCTGGGAAAGCGAATCGCGACACAAGTCCCAGAGAAGGCTGAAGGGCTGTCACGGCTATTCACACATTTCTCCGTGCTCTGTGTCGCTCAGTCGACATTCCCTACTACTAGTAGTTGTCTTTGCTCTCATCTAGCTCAATCGCCATCTGCTGTCACTTGTCGGTGGCGCTGCTTGCATTGTCGCACAAGCCGTTACCGCAATTGACTGATTGATTGATACTCCCGGCGCCATGGACGCAGAGCCCGCAGCCGCTGACCGGCCCTCGTTCACGTCCTTCTGGAAGCGAAGCAAGCAGAAGGACAAGGAGGGCGACGGCAAGAAGAAGGGCAAGAAGACGACCAGCCCCAGCTCAACCGGCGAGCTGCAAGACGAAGGATATGCAGAGGACCAGGAGGCAGACCAAGATGCCGGTGAGTGCTAGCTGACGCGTTTCCACATTTCGTCTCCCCGCATGCATGGCCTATTTTATGCTTGAATTCTGCTTGTTGAGCCGCTGCAGTCGTCCAGAGGCGTGATTCCATTGTTTTTGCCCGTGGCGGCTAGGCAAATCTCCCATCGATGGGGGGTGGGAGGCGGATGCACTAAAGGGGGGACATGACACAAGGCGAGAATCAGCTGGCGGGCATCCTGGGCGCTGTACGGGCGGCTCAATTAATGATTACAGCAGGAAAACGACTGCAAGGGACTGCCATCGGCGCTCTGCAGGCGATCGCCCTGCTGGCGGCGGGTCTGGCCGTGGCGGTCATCAATTTCCAGCCGTCCAGGAGCAAGTGCTTCGTGATTTGGAATAGCCGGTGTTGCTGGCGATGTGGGCGAGCGCGGCCGGCTAGCGGGTTGGCCATCTCAAATCATTCGCTTGCAGCGCAGCCAGCATCGTCTTGATGCCTTTATAAGAGGGAGCCAGTCGCTCTCGCTGCGACCCAATTATGCCTTGCCTCCCAATCTGCCTTTGCATTTACACCTCCTTTGTGGGCGCTGCTTTGATTCCATTCATGACGGCCGGTCCCACTTAAAGTTTGGAATCTTGCTCTTGGGCGTTGCGCTGCGACTCAAGCCATAATCCATAATCCATAATCCCTATTCACATTGCACTACCACTTACTTATCCACGCTATGCCTTTTCTTTATCGAGTTTCACCGTCCCGAGAGGTCTGCTATTCTAGGTCCAGGTCCCGGGTACAGCGCAGGAAGAAGATGATGGACGCTGAACTAAGACTTCAACGCACAGATGAACACGCCGGCAAGGACGATGCCAAAGACCGCGCCCAGCTTCGACGGGCTCAGGTCCGGAAGGCCCAGATCCAGCACCGCCAGCGAAAGGCAAACTATGTCAAGCAGCTGGAGCTGGACGTTTCCCAGCTGCGAGACCTCATCACCCAGGCCCAGCAGGAGACGTCGCAGATGCGGAGGGAGAATGACGGCATACGAGATCTACTGAGGACGAGTGAGCAGCACCTCCAGCCCACGTATCCGCAGGCCGACTCAACGTACTTTTCAAACGCAGGCTCTCCTGGCACTCGTGTGGGCGGCATGTCTGAGCTGGATACCCAAGAATGGCTCGGTGGCGGACACCTGGGTGATCTGGACCTGAACCAGAACCCCTTGATGCCTTCGACCTCGAATGATGCGGAAATGTTTGGCCATATCAATGTCGACGACATCACTGTATCGCTGGGCATCCATGATCTCTTGGGCACGCCTTGCTTCACCATCAACTCTTCCTCTGGTGCCAGCATACAGACCTCTACCAGCCCGCCTCCGCCACTTGATAGCACCCCCTTGACGCCTCCATTGACACCTCAACAAGAACAGACAGTCATCAACTGGATCTTGGCGTAAGTCTTCTCCCGTCGATGATGCAAATCAGCCAAATACCTTCTTCAGAGCACGACTAACTTGACCCAGACTTGAAAACATTTGCTGGGACCACTTCCAAAGCACTGATTTCCACAACCACGTTCCCGGCGAGGCAGAAGACTCTTACAACCATGCTCTCACCGCCACTGCTCTATTCATGAATGCCGCACCCTCCTCCATCTTCACTGACCGCGAGGTATTCACGGCAATAGATCCCACCACAACACAAGCACCCACCTTCCACTGGCAGGCCAGCGGCATCAACATCAACTCTCTCTGGGCACTGGCGCAATTCGAGCTTGATCCAACTGAAATCTCCCCCATGCAGATTTGGTTCGACCTGGCGTCCAAGTTTTCCTACGAGCTACTCTTCTCGGACGGCTTGTTGACAGCCTTGTTGATCGAGCTGCGGCCATTGATCAGGTGTATCGAGTTCGGTGCGTCGATACAGAGACAATTTTATGACGATGTGATTGCCAGAGTCTTAGGACCTTCTGCTGCAATTTAATTTAAATGATATACCTTTCCTTCCTTCCTTCTTGGTTTTGGTTGGATGATAATGACAGTGGGGACAAAATATGTGGCGGCGTACTGGTAGTCTTTTTTAAACGGGTTGATGGTGTATATCTATTTATTTTTATCTTTACGCTGTTCTTTGAACTGGAGTTCTGATGATGGCTGTTGTGGCTGTCAGAAATACCTAATTTCTTCTTCTATTGTTGATTCTTTGATCTCCCAACCTTTTCTCATCTAAAAGTGGCAGATGTTTTGGATACCACTCTGATGACTGCTTTATGAAAAGTGTAATAGCCTGGAGATGGAGATGGATGTTATCTATTGGGATACATGCAGTAATGACAGAGTGTAAATAGGGAATGAGATCAAGGGATGCTGCATAAGCACAGCAAAATTGCAAAAAAGAGATATATACCACATCATGTCAATAATAGAAAACTCAGCTTCAAGTCTATCTGCCCACTATCTACACATCTATGTCACACTTAAATCTGGCCACGATTGAAAAAAAAAGGAGATAACAGAAACAAAAAGATAAGATAAAGAAGGGGATTTGGAAGAGAGAAAAGAATCCCCCATTTTTACAAAGCTTTAACCATACTACGATCATCAAAAACATCCCTCAGCAGCGCTTCCACGCAAGCATCTCTATCCAGCGCCCCCATAGCATACGTCGACTCAAAGGCAAAAATGCTGAGTTGCCCAAAGAATGGCCTAAGAACTTTAGCAACCAACTCATCCTTTCTCTCAAAGCTGACGTCGTCGTTAATGCCACCAGCGCCGAGGAGCGGAAGGCGGCGTGGGCCGTTCTGGTTGGTCGCCATCTGTGCCATAATCGTTGCGTCGTCATGCCCAGCAATGGTGGTCGCGCCAAGCTCTTCGGATATCTCGTCGACCAGGGCGACGGGCTGGTACGTGGACGATCTGTATACCGCCTCGATGGTGTCCGTCACGAAGAGCCACTCGTGCAGCTGGAAGTCGTCCGGTGCCACGCAGATGAGCAGGTCGAGCAGCTTGCAGGCCTGCAAGATGGCGGCGTTGACGTAGACTTCGGATGCCGTGCTGTGGTCTGGGGCGACGATGGAAGATATGGCAGAGTGAATCTCGGCGTTGACAACGGGCCACAGCCTGGCGAGATGGATCGGGCTGACCTTGAGCACCAATGCCCTGATGACCATGTACACCTCTGCTCGCGTGGTGGATGATGGAGATGAGGTTGACGTGGCCCCGAATAGCTCAACCACCTTATCAAAGATGGCAGGGATATCCGTGACAAAGGCATCCTCTGCCGAGGCAAGAATCAGAGTAGCAATCCTTCGCAAGTTAAGCTGCGTCTTCCGATCCGCCTCAAGACGAGCTGAAGTGGCGCCCACCCCGAATACTATTCCCGCAGTGGTAGGAGCACTGATGCGGCCAACAATCTCGGGGATTCTCTCCTTATCTGTCAATGCCCACTGCCGCAGCAACGGCAACCAGTCGTTCTGAACCAAGGAGAGGTTCATTGCGAAGAATTTACTATCATTGAAAGCCTCGCTGACATCCTTCTTCCAGGCTTTCTGGTTGTTTGGCAACCTTGAAAGCTCATGTAAGAGCTTCAGGGTGCTGGAAGAGACCGAATCTGGGAACGTCTTGGAGCGGAAAGTCGGACCAATAACATTGGAAGATATCGTTGCAGCTGCCGAGAGAACTCGGTCTGGTTCAAGCAGAATCTTTGGCAGATTAGGGACGATGGAGGCCAGAATAGCCACGACATCATCAGATCTTTCGATTGCACCGGGAAACGTGCCGCGACGTTCAAGCTCGCCCTTAACAAACTTGGTCCCCGACGTGCCGTTCGAATTGCTTGAATCAGTAAAAGTCGGCCTCGTAGTGAAGAGAGCAGTGATGAGCCTTAAGAAGAGATCCTACCAAGGGGTTATTAGTTTAGTCAATGTGCCTTATATAGCGATTACAAATGAAAAGACATTAGCTTTTATCTTACCCCTAATTCCCTGCGCATTTTTCGCTGCTCGCCGAAATTGGTATTGTCAACTTTCTCACCCAAGATGGCGGCAAACTCAAGAAGGCTGGGAAGCGTTTGTCTGTGGGGGAAAGGATTGTTCAGGAGGTCCTTCAAGAACGTTATGCAGTCTTGCCATATCTCATCCATGGCATCGTCATCTAGTGACCTGGCGTATTCGACCAGGAAGACAACCAGGTCGGCATCTTGAAGTGAGATTGTCATTGTCGACTTCCGTGAGGGTTCCAGCGCGGCAGGGTTCGTACGGCTGTATATGGAGTTGAAAAGAGCCGGCATCGAGTGTTTTGGTCTTGCAGCATCTAAAGCTGCTAAGAAGCTGAATACGGTGACATGTTCTGCAGCGCTTGTTGAGTTTCTCCATACATCAATCACGGTCTCGAGGCTTTCGAGAGTCTCCGCTGTGAAAAGATGTTCGAGGAGTCGCCTTGCCCGATTCCTCATCCTCAGAGATGTGTAGTTAAAGGACGCTGAGGAATTGATGTCCTGCGTGGTGGCTTCATCCCCTTGTCCCCATGACCAGATTGAAAAGCACATTCGCACAGCATCTTGGAAGGCCAAATGAACAGTCAAGCGGTCATTGGCCGTGGCGCTTCGAGACTGAGGGGAGTCTGACTGGAAGACACCCGATACCATGCTCCCAAAGATTGACTGAGGCTGGTCGGGGCCTTTCACAGCCAGTGCTTGAGCTTCTTCAGCCAACAATTGGTCATGTGCCTTAGCCAAGACTTGTTCAAGAGCATTGAGAAGGTAGATTAGAGTAGATTCCGGCGTACCAGCCTCACTCTTGACTTCGTATGATTCGTCTTCAAACAAGATCTTCAAGTGAGAGAAGGTAGCGCCTATTTGTTTGCATAGCGTTTCGACAAGGGGTATTAAGATCTGAAAGATGGACTGGGAATAAAAGGGCAGACATCTGCCCAAAAATGAGACCCAAGTGTCTAGAACAAACTGGCTGTTTGTTGAACTTAGGCCTGACTGTAGGCACTTGAGTAGTTGGGGTGGCATTACCATAGGAGGTGGTGCCATGTCGCCGGAGGAGATAGATAATCTAGTTGCATGTAAAGGATCCGCGCTTGATCTTCTCTTTTCGGCAATCGAAGATATAGCAAGTTCCGTTACCACGGCATCATGTAACTTGAGAGCGTCAAAAACGACGTCAAGCAAAAGAACTTGCACATACGGATCCGTATTTCCAATGGAAGTCGACAGTCTATCAATCAGAATATGATCAAGATTAAGATTGAATAGAGGAGCGGCGTGATGACTTGTGAGGAAGTGGTGAAGAACCGTCAGTGCATAACGATGCAGCTGGGAGACTCTGTTGCTCAGGTCTTCGCTAGCAGGCGAAGTTGCAATGCCAGTAATACAGGCCATACACACCCGAACGAAATAATCCTGTAGCGTGATGTCGTCTTCATCTCCGCCAGCTAGAAATGCGTAATCAGCAGAGATATCAAGACGTTCATGGGAGTTATGGAACACATACTGGATATTTGTACCTGCGCCATATCCCCAAAGGAGAGATGCTTGGATACAAGGACTGCCCCTGAAGTTTCTCCAGAGTGAATTAAGACGTGATAGAGAGTCCGTAAATAGTACAAGCAGAGATCTATATCGTCATCTTCGGTGAAGGCGAGGGGTTCAGGCAGAGACTTTTCAGCCTGGAAGTCTTTTCCAACTTCGCGAAGAAAGGGTATCTCTCCAAATTTCATAACGAAGAGTAAAAACAATCTGCGTTCATTAGCAAACCAATGACAATTACAGGGGATCATGATAGAAAATTACCTATCAATGCCAACCATATTGCTGAGCCATGATTTGACAGTCATAAACAACTGCGTCCTGTCGTCTAACAGTCCGTCAAGCACGAGGAATAGAGGTCGCGTCAGTATAATCTCATAATGGTCAGTCCCACTAAATCTTTGGCCAGATTTTACTTCAACTGTAGGGATCTTTGGCCCACGTCGATCGGATTGGGTATCTTGGATAGTATGTGACCACAGAACGCCGAAAGCACGCCCAATATCTGCGCCATCGCCGGCACTCTGGTTCACTATGATACTCGCAAGCGAGGCTTCAACATCACGGCGAGTAAATGAAATAGCTGCCTGAAGCTGCCATAGGCATCGGACAGTTTCCACATGATATTTGGGCTCAGAGGCGGAAAGATATGACCATGCATGGCGAACTAAAGGGTGTACTAGCTCAGACAACTCTGAAGTTGAGATTCGTCCAACATGATGAAGCTGCGTGATGAGATGCAGAATTGAAGAAAAGTCTGAAAACCTCAGGGGTCGCTTCTGTGTGACCTGTGCCTTTAAGGAGGACATTAATATCTTCTCATCGAATCTGTAGGTTTTTGGAACTTTCAACAAGATGAGGAGTAGAATCTTGATGTGAAAACTCAAAGAACAAGGTGAATCTTGCTCAGTCGAATCATCAACAATGTACTTGACTGCTTTTTCCAGGATCAACTCTCCCGTTTCTATGTGAGAGAAAGGTATTGGAGAAGCGTCAGGATTTCCTTGCCCTTGGACATAAAAGTCTTGAATTCTTTTCAATAAATCTTTGGCTGCCAGTGACGTAGAGGAACCGGATTCTTTCTTTTGACTGGCTTTGCTTTTAGACGGCTCTGTGAAAGCCCAGCCCGGCACCAATTCCAAGAGCGAAACGACAATGCCAAGGACTTGTTCTTTCAGAGATGGACTAGGACCATCTGGCAGACACATGGTATCTTTTCGACTTGCCACATCTTCTAACATGGCCAAAGCAGCGAGGCAGGCCAGGGGAGCATGGACTGTGCTCATCTCTCCGTCGTGCACATTGAAATGGGCGATGATAAACTTGACCAAAGAGAGTTTGTCGCTTCGATCTTCACTGTTAGCTTTCTCTGAGCTAATAGCTTGATCCAAAAGTCCAACGAGCTCGCCGTATATAAGACCACCTTCAATGCCATCGAAAAATACACTTGCGCTGCGTAGAACCTCTGCAAATTCTCCCTTGGCCGGGCCTTGATTCTGAAACTGCCGCACGCTCTCCACCACGGGAAGAAAGATGTCTGGTATCACCAATCCACCAACTTCCAACTTGTCCATCAAAGAGAGGCAAATACGATAGGGGCGGGTTCGTTCGGCAACTCCACCGCGTGAAGTATCTTTGATCATTTCCAGTAGGGCTTTTGTAAGAGATTGTAGACCAAACTGCTCGAAATAGTTCGTTCGAGAGGATAGTAGAGCCTGCTGCCCGTCTGAGGCGCCACCATGTAAGTCTTGGTTGTGTTCAGTTTCGTTGCCTGTTGGCTCAGGGCCAAGGAGCCATGCCCATAAGCGACGATTTAAACTCATATCTCGTCGGGTAACTACTCCAACAGCCGCTCTCAATAGAAGTTCCAGATCACCAGGTTTAACAAGAGATTGTAACACTTTGGAATTAAGTGGGAGATGAGAGACAAGTAGATCAAGAAAGCCACGCTGGATCAACAGCTGCTCATCAGAAAGTCCACTAGCAAAGCACCTTACCAGCAAACCTGGTTCTGGAGTCGTAACAATCGCGAGAATCTCACTGCTGATGCCGCCTTGTTCTGTACCATTCTCCTTTTTTTCGCTGGATGTCATAGATGAATCTGAACCCAAGACAGGCAGGGTTCGGACCAAGTAGGCTAAAGCACCAGCACGGCGGCTATGGCTTGTAACAGAAGCTAGAAAGAAGCACTGCCAGAAGAAATCGTCGCCTGTGGCATGTTGCTCCGTGAGAGTGACGCTATCTGTTGGTCGGATGGCTTTTTTGAAGCTCCCAACCAGTCGCATAGTTCGGTCGAAATCTTCGCTAGTTTCATCTTCTAAACCGGGTAGCAATGCTAGTATGATTGATTTCATAGCTGGACGTAATGACCTGGAATCGACACCCGTGAAATGACGCTCAAGAAGGTCAAGAAATGGCGACCGGACGGAAAGCGATGCAAATGAGAGAGTGGGTGCTAATCCCGGAAGATATAGAGGGAGGTCTCGCGAGAGCCCATCTTTTCCAATTGCTTCAAATACATAATTATAAACTTCGAGCGCCTTCTGGTGGACACCCGAGGGTAAAGACGGGTTTAAGCATTGTGATAGACGTTTGGCGACGGTAATCTTGGAGGGAATAATGGTGCTAGCGGGTGGTCGAGCTTGTAGACTCTATCCAAGAATGTCAGTATATCATGCTATAAAACGAAAGTGTCGGAATTGTATTGCAGCTATATCTGACCTTGAGCAGCCTGTTCAGGAAGGATATATAGTCAGCCCATTCCTCCAGTGCTGTTTCGAACAAGAGCAGCGCTTTGTCGACTCCGCCAGCGTATCGACGGTATGCCTTGTCCTTAACTGGGGCATCTCCTAGACTCTCTGGATCAGCAAAATGATTGAGAAAAGCCATTGCCAATGAGGCCTACCCACCTCCGCCGAGTTGATTCCTCCATTGCCGCGGAATGGGCGAGTCCCGCCCGGAACTCTCTGGCGACCCGGAGCGTACACCAGGACCCAGTTCAAGCGCCATTATGCCAGGCTGATTGGTTCATGGGTGAGATCAATGGCAGCAGCGTTTTGAGGTCAGAAAGCGAGTCGCATAGCGGCGAGGGACAGCGGTAGCTACAATGCAGTTGCCGGGCAGCTTCACGATGATTCGCCAGAGTTGAAGTCGTCCAGAAGGCTACGTTTCAGTGGTTGCGCCCAAAACGCGGGAGTCGCCAGAGCTAAGGTGCCGACATACGTAGCCAACCCCACTATAGGTGCTTGATTGGCACCAACTGACGCAAGGCTACAGGCTATGGGGCCGAGTACGTACCGGCCACAGCGGACCAGACAGCGCTTCGGAGCTTTTGCTTCTAGCCTCGAACTTCCTCCACTGCCCTACCTATTCGATCCGCCTGTCTCTCATTGTCGCCGCGACCAAAAGCGCAATGGCATGATGGATGGCAAGGCTGTCTCGATAGCAGCAAGATCGCGCAACCTTCTAGCCCTTGCTAGATGAGTGCCCCCTAGGTTCCGCCCTCCTTGAGATGCTACAGAACTGCGCGCCACGATGGGACAGGAGAGCGATTCCCCCGTCGAGGAGCAACCCCCTCCGCTCCCACCTCGACCACACGCGAGGAGCATGAGCAGTGCCGTAGACCAGAAATCCTATCTAGGCGAAGCGACAACCGCTGTCACACCTTTAGAGATCCAGACTCTGTCGTTCCCCGACGGGACACGAGGGACATTCTCCACGCATTCCAGGTCTGCGTCGACACCGACAGGCAGCGGCTATACGTCTCCCAATTACCGACCAAGCAGCTCGGGGGCTGACGGCGACGATGCCGCCAGTATTACGAGCTTTGCGCCGACGATGCGCCCGGCGGGAGACATTGCCAGCCTGTTGACGTCCTCGCTCAGTAAGAAGAGCGCCGCATGGAATCTGCTAAAGGCGCAGGCAGCAAATGTCCAGCCGTTTGAGAAACATTACAGAAGCGCCGATGATCGACTTGCCGATTTCGAGAAGGAATTCGCTGCGCTTCCCGACGAAGCAAATGAGTACTTCAAAGACGACGAAAGGTTGGCCATTTGGCGGTCCAAATTGAAGCAGTACATGATCCTATCTTCCGCCGGCAAACCCATTTGGAGCCGACATGGAGACCTCAACCTTATAAACTCCTCCATCGGAGTAGTACAAACTATCATATCTTTCTACGAAGGGTCGAAAAATCCTCTCCAGGGGTTCACAGCTGGCAACACCCGATTCGTGGTATTGACTCAGGGACCACTCTATTTCGTAGCCATCAGCAAGCTTGGGGAAAGCGACTCACAGCTACGAGTGCAGCTGGAGGCTTTATATATGCAGATCTTGTCGACACTTACGCTACCTTCCCTAACCAACATATTCGTGAATCGGCCGTCCACTGATTTGCGCAAACCGTTGCAAGGAACCGAAGCTTTACTGTCATCGCTAGCAGACAGCTTCACGAAAGGGTCTCCCTCAGCATTGCTAAGCTCATTGGAATGCTTGAAGCTGCGCAAGTCGCAGAGGCACACAATCAACAATACATTCCTGAAATCGAGAGCCGACAAGCTGCTCTACGGGCTCATTGTAGCAGGAGGCAAGCTTGTCAGCGTTATCCGGCCACGGCGCCATTCTCTTCATCCTAGCGATCTCCAGCTCATATTCAACATGCTCTTCGAGTCGGAAGGCATCAAAGCTGGAGGCGGCGAAAACTGGATCCCGCTGTGCCTGCCGGCCTTCAATAACAAAGGCTATCTATACATGTATGTCAGCTTTTTCGAGGGAGTATCGGGCGAGCAGGCGACGGCACCCGCTGCGGCCGTGGGACAACCGGTGGACGAAGAGATTGCCATGATCCTCATCAGCCCGGACAGGGAAGCATTCTTCAGTCTCAAACAGATGCGAGACGACGTTGCGCAGCAGCTAGCGAAGAACGGCAGCCTCGCCATCATCCGAGACGCCGCTCGTGCTGGTCGCCCAAGCATGACGCAGATTGCGCCGGGAAGCCCTATTTGCCATTTCTTGTTTAAGTCGCGAGCGAATGTGCAATTTTGCATGTCCAACCTAGAGCCGACTTTCAGCCATCCTGTAAAGAGAAGACGTCTAATGACGGTATATCATGAGTTGCAAGCCTCAACCCACGCAAAGAATGCGCATCTTAAGATTTTGCAATGCGTGAGCGATGATTCTACATCTCTTGCTTGGCTCACTCCTGCTTTTGAACTCTACTGCATTGGTGGGCCTAATTTGTCACGAGCAGCAATGGCGCAGGGCGCCAATAAGATTATGCAATGGATTAAGAGAGAAGAGAACCGATTGTTCATCATTGGCGGCGGTGTATTTTGACACCTTTCTTTGAGTTCATAAATCATTATCATACAAATTGCAAGTTTATCCAGCCCCCCTTATCCAGTGCCACTGCCTTGCCCTCGCATTACTATCAATGGTAATGTTAGTAAAGACTGAAGCTGCAGGTTGTTGTTGTTTTTCCTTGAGCCGTATCAATTTGTTGTAGAGTGTTTTTCCTCCCCTTTTTCTTCCTTGTTCTTTGTTCTTTGTCGCCGTCCAATGTTTCCTTTTTGGTCCTGTTTTAAGTCGGCTTGGGAATTTCGGCCACAGTGATGATGGTCGAAGGCTGAGTGTGATTGTTGCGTTTGCCGTATCCTGTCTCCATTGGCAAGGTGCTCATCCTCCTGGAGGCCCTACTCGGGGGCGGTCGTAAATCAGAAAAGCCTTCGCCAGGGCGTGAAGGACGCTGTCGTTTAATGGTCAACGACCGCTTGGCCCATTGCAGTACCTTGTCGTTGACGCTCGCCCGGCGCTTGGGCAATTGCACCCAGCTATCGTCGTAGCTTCGCTGAGGCGGCGGCGGAACCTTGTCTTTGCTCTCCACAAAGTAGGACGTCTTGGGAGGTGGAGGGTCCAGGAAAGACTCGGAGAAGGGGGCGTCAAAGTCCTCGTGGAATCGAGGGCTGCGGATGGGGCTGCGTGACTGGAACTGGAGATCCGGCTGGCTGGCGGCGGGCATCAAGAGGTGGAAGTCTGGTTTGCGGGAAGCCATGGCGAAGGTGGTTGTATTTTTTAGGTAGAAATACTGAACTGAACTGTCAAGCGAGCGTGTTATCAAAAGAGTGTGAGGTGGCAAATCAATTGCTGAGAAATAGGAAAATTCAGGTCATTGACGCAGACGGGGGCGAGGTATATGGCCACAGCAGGTGAGATGTTTTGGCTACAGGGACGAGCTCTCTTATAAGTCTGGTGCTACGAGGTGCTCAGAGCTTAATCTCCCTAGAAACGTGACGCTGAGACGTTTTTTAATTTGGAAAGTTTAAAAAAAGACTGGCGGTTGACGAAATGAAAGAAAAAAACTCTATAATGTCTCTCGGAAGGGCGGGAGGAGATAAGAAAAGAGAGACGGGCGAGCGAAGGGAACAGAAAATTTCAATGCCCTATGACTCTCCGGTAGTGTAGCCAACGAGCAGCGCAGAAACTATTAACAGATGCAGCTAATGGCCCGTACCACCACGGCGTTGAAAGGATTGCCGCATGTCATTACCCACAGTGCCCCTGACTAGAGCGCGTCGTGCTGGTGGAGTTGCGGGGGGCCAGCCAGTCAAGATCCGGGCATGTCCTGTAGGGCCCCTCTCCAGGGGCACTGCGGCGCTAGGGTTCAGGCCCGGTAGCGGCCGGCAGAGGCCACGCAGGGCACGCTGTGGCCTTGGAACGGTGCTGGATGGGTGGCCTGGCCTCGCACTTGTGATGCCGAGGGACCTGCGTGCCAAAGTCTAATGGGCTCTTGGGGCCTCTATTCGAGCAGCGGCTCGTGTTTGCTTGGGACTTGGTGTTGTGGTTCTGTTTTCTTTGTTCTGTTGCTGTTATTGTCGTTGTTCCAGCTGAGCGAAGTTGGCAGACGCGCTCATCTCGTTGGTTGCAGCACCTACTACCGCTTGTACCTAATGCTGTCCATTTCTTCAGTTTTTAATCTCCGATCATGTTTCTAGAACAAATGTCCCGGACCCAAAGACAGACCCAACCGCTACGCTGTAGCACAAGCCGTTAGAAGGGTCGTGGCAGGCTGGCAAAGCAGCTCAAAGATCAAGAGGGGAACCCCTGCTAAGGAAGCACGTGAGGCATGCGGGCATGGGAAAATCATTTCGCCAAAGTGCCCGCATAAACGAGAGGAGAATCACCTGTCATACGTGTGATTAAAACGCACGTCCACTACGCCGTAGTCGCACTAAGGCGAAACGGCAGCATCCAGGCGGTGGGAAAAAAACAAACATTGGAAAACACGACAGAGTTCAGCTACGTCTCGGATAAATGCAGGGCTGCACCGCAATTGGCCGAAAGATGGACCCGGTCCTGGTTCCTGGATCCTGCCCTCTGTCATAACAAAATATGCTTTCAACTACTCGAGATGGCTGCAGACAACAACGGCGTTATGGTTATTTTTGAAGCAGTAGCACCATTTACTGGCACCATGTGTCTGTGCTATGACCTCATGAGCATGAGTACAGTTTGCATGGAGGGCTGCGTTACGAGACTACCTGTATATAGAGCAATGATGCTCAATTAAACCAACAGCGCCACACCCACTGAGCAGTAGTACTATTAGTAGTACACAGCTCAAATGTTGTTATCTGAGGCCACATGATGGGTGCAGTGCCTTGGAACCCCCAGTACTTCAGGCATTCTCCCGGGGCAACATCAACAGGTTCAAACTCTAAAATGACTCTTCTTGAAACTACAAAGCTGATGGATGCCAGGTATTTTCGGCAGTTGGGAAAGCTGCTCTTTATCCGTGCAAACCAGGTGCCATCAGAAGATCCAATGAGTCCAAGCTGCATCTCCAGGGTAGCGGACGATTTGGTGCGGTCCATGTACTGAAATGCTGTCCTCGGTCCTTTTTCAGCGACGATCCCAAGTACTAGCACTACTAATAACACCTTCCTTTCATCAATCATACCCATCAGCTGGCGTCTACCTATGCTTAGGCGGCAGCATGGATTTCCAGCTTCTAATAATATTTTTTCGAACATCCTGCCGCCGCTATTAGAATTTACTCAAGGAGGAATATCTCTAGAATACGAAAAATTACTTCACGATACACGTATTCCTTATACTTCCGGGCAGGTACCGCCGTGTGCCCTGGTACATGCCTGCATTCCAGTGAAAGTGATTCATCGCAACTTCCTCCTCCACGCGCCCTCATATTTCATACTGCCAGATGGACCTTCCAATGTGCATCGCCTCTTTCTCGCCAAGATGCCGACGCATAGTCAAGCCTCTTTGCCGTGGCCCGCCCTCTTCACCTGAAAATGTTCGTGCCAAAAGTGCTGGTCGCCTCGCCGCATCTTCTTGGAGTTGGTTTACAGTTCTCGTGTTCTGGAGGTTTTTGATTTGCAGGTGTCGACCCGTCGTCTTTGGCTTTTCTGCTTCTTGTTCGAATATCTGAGCCCTTCTTTTTTTTAGTTTAATGTGTATGATTATTTTCGCCTTGCCCATCCCATCACAGCCAGGACTAGCTGCGTTTCCATGGACGCTGCTCGACTACGACAGAGATCTGCCAGTCATTCTTCGCTGCGCAGCCAGTATCGATATCAAACCAGAATGATCAACTACACGAATCCTCGTCCGCCAGCTCATAGGCACCCCTTACGCAGAGTCAACGAAAACCCCGCTCTCCTACGCTCTCCTGGCCCTTTGGAGAGCATGCTAAAGACTACCACCGAGACAGGTGACATTGGCATCTTTTCCATCAGGCCGAATTCCTCTTCGGCACCCTTTGATCGACCACACAGACCCAGATCGCATCCCAGAGATGTGGATTTGTTGCTTCCAGCACGCTCATCGGGCTATGACGAAAACTACTACTACCGCTCCGATGACCATAAAAGAATGCGGCCATATCGCGACACCACGTCCGAAATTATATCTTTGTATGGTTCAGAAAGTCAGCACACTCTTTTGTCGTCAGTGTCCCCAGTCAGTCTTGAAGATGATCCCAGGTCGTATTCAATGACTACAACCAGCTCAAAACGAATCCCTTCTCAGAAATCGACAGGGACATTACAAAGCCAATCCAGCGGAGGTGGCTTTCAACGTCCAAGATCCCCCTTTCCTTACCCAACCCGATTGAAGCGCCCAGGAGTTCGCCCAGCTTCTCCAGCTCTGAGAGAGAATGGGGATATTGACTACAGTAGGATGGTTGAGCTAGAGCGTTTTTCTCAAGTAGGCCTCCAACTAGAAGCTCATACAGGAATCTCTTCATGTCTGACATCTTCGCAGAGAACTATTCACGGGTCATACAAACCTACCTTCTTCCACGGCTCTCGAAGGCCACCTCCGCTTTCCCTTCGTGCAGAGGCCAATAGGTCAACAACTTCTCTGCCGTCGAGACCGCTGCACTCACCTCATTTTTATGTACCGGGATCTTACCATGCCAGACCGCCCAATCCCTCCATGGCGTGGATGCCCAGGCAGCCAAGTAGAAACCAGCCATATCCCACGGATCAAAGCAATCGATCAGCCAGTCTTACATCCATCGTTGAGATGTATGATAAACCAACAACTTCAAATCAAAGTTGTGTGCCTCCTCAATCGACCGGCTCTATCTATTATGACTACAGTGAACAATTTGAAGACCGGCCCCCTTGGGACATTGACGTTGATGTGCCGCTTCACCCTATACCACAGAGAGCTGAAAATATTCGCCAATCTCTGTTGCTAATGGATGATATTCAAGGACGGTTTGATATTGGTGAAAATGATTCAGACTCGTCGGAATCCAATATGCAAGAGGTTGAGAAAGACTTGATGGAGCCCTCGCACCTATCAGACACTAGGGAACGTCATTCTGAGGGAACGGAAGCAAAGCAGCTGACTCTCCTGGATGAACCTGGCACCACGGATAATGAATGTTCTGCTTTGTTGAATTCTATCGAAATTGCTTTAAATTCCATTTCTGACAAAGAGCAAAGTCAACCGCCAGCTGGTTCAATTGAAGCGTCGCCAATTACAGAAGCAGATACCGCTGATATGGGCTCAATGATGAACGATCCAGCTTCTAAGAGGTCCATCTCGCCTCTGGAAAGGTCTCCTAAAACTTTAAAGACAAGCTTCAGTTTTGAGGAAGACCTTCGAAGCCGGTCGTCGTCTCAAAATGGCCGTCTTTCGAAGTTACGGTATTCGCTAGATCCTGCATTGTCCGACTTTGCTTCTGTTTTATCATCTTTTGACCGAATAGGAAGATTGTCAATTTCGAAAGACAACGAAGTCCAGTCCAGTGACATGAGAAACATTGAATCGACTCTATACCAGCAATGCGAGACAGAGGCAGCTGCTTCGAAGAGACTGAGTGAGCGATCGCCCCCACCGTCTTCAAACAAGGCTGGTACAGAGGAGAGGGCGTATCCAAAACGTCACCGACGACATATCGCAACAATGATGATTAGTACGGCTGGCGTTGCTTCGGATGAGTTTTCCAAGAGTAGCCCTGGGCGAGAGGACAAGTTGCCGATTCTCGCCCCAGAGCCCATATCGCCTGTACACGAGCTTAGAGTCAAGGAGAGTATCCCTCAGCTAATGAAATCATTGCCTCCGTTGCCGAGAGAAGCTCAAAAACTCTCGGGTTACGGTACTGTAGGCTTATTACCACTACCTAGTTGCTTGGTAGACGAGCCTTTGACGCCAAGCAAAGATGAGCCTGCATGTATGAACCAGAGATTCTCGTTCATTCCTTTGTGGGGAAGCTCGCAAAACATGCAGTCAAAATTCAGCACAAAGGCTGTGGCGCCATCTCCTTCACATCGAATCATTGGTGATGTAACATGCTCCGTTGCAGCCAGCAGGCCATTGTACAATGTTTTGCACGATTATGGACATAGCCCAGCAGGGCAGTCAAAACCCAAGCTCAAAGCATCATATAGCCAACTCGACCCAGTCCAACATAGTCAGGGCGGCCCTTCTCCGTATAGCAATCGATTGAAACAATGCAACTCACTCGCGGAGTTGGCACCCTGCGATGTAAAAGACCCCGTGGACGAAAGAATCAATACAGCTGTGGGTGGCAGAACGCAAGTATCGAACTGTGAATCCAACAGTGGCAGTTCAGCGAAGGCAGAAGAAAGGTCTACTCGTTTTCAACCGTCTCCTCAGCCGTCAGATCAGTTCAATATTCCTTATCCACCATCGCCCATACAAACCACAACTTACTCAAGCCCTAATACAGCAAAGTTTGGGACAGCTCTGACCAAAGCGCATAGCTATGATATCGGCTCGAGTGAGCCACGCGGGCTGCGAGGTAAATTATCGACGCTTCGGCTGCGATATGTCAGCCCACAACGCTCAACTACCGCATCAAAAGAGAACAGATCTATGCCTTCTTTGGGTAAAACCGGACTCTCGACGTTTCCCACCGTGGCCAGCAAAGGAACAGACATTACCTTTGGGGAAATGGGTAGCAATAAATACCTGCCACCTCTACCTGAGATGGATAAACAAGAGTGGCGTATAAAGAGGTGGGCGCGAGATGCCAGAAAGGCCGTTCGGCTATATGTGAAGAAGACATTGGATCGATCTCTCAAAGCGAACGCGTGAGTGACAGAGCCATTACTAGCTGGATCTTGGCAAAGTTCTGGAAGCGGTGGTCAGCAACAGATACTACGGTGATGCTGGGCGCTTTTAACAGGGTAAACAGCAACACGCTGCAAGTGTATAAACAGTATTAACAGAGATGTCCAACCATGAGTGGAAGATGGAGAAAGAGGGGAAACAAGGCGAAGAGATAACGAACGGAGTACTACGGAGGGTTTGTAAGAATATGCATGTATTCTAGTTTACAGAAATACTTAGAGCAGTTATGCCTAGACACTTAAGCTAATGATATACCCGCTTATTAGGCCTTGATAGTGTGCAATCCTTTATTTTCGCCTTTTTTACTCAAAGAGATATACGAAGCATATCCATCCAATTGAAATCCAGTACCAGCGAACGAACTAGTCGTATCTTGTACTGAAGACGGAGGCGCAACTCCGTCTCCATCAAGGCGATCCAAGATTTAGCATAAACGCTAGTAGTAGATTAGTAGGTACATGATACAGATGTGGATCTTTACACTTTGGGGTAAATCAGCAACTACAAGTTTATAAGTGCGCATGTGCTTTACGGCGAGTTATGTTCAGAATTACTAGTATATATCGTCCTATGAATCTAGACTTGGCTGTTAAACAGCTTTGATGGTTTCAATACGATCTACGCCCAGAAGCCCATTTAGAAACAAATGATTCAGACGTCGATAATAACAGGGCAACAAGCCCGACTTGCATCTCGAAGCAATGTACACACAACATCAACATCAGGCCTGGCACCTGGATATCTACAAGCCAATCTGATCATCTTGCCATCACGATACGCAAGCGATTTCCGCAACCTTTGCGCCAGAAACCCCGTCCCATGCCCCCTAATTGCAGAGTCTGAGACGACGGGATGCGATGATGCGGTGATTTCTCATATCAAGACCCTTCGCGGCGATGAAATTCTCGGCGAGGGGAGCGACCTCAGGCGAGACGCACCGCGATACATGGTATACAAGGATTCGAAGCTGGAGAAGAGCCACTGCAGCGATATCACGGCGGAGTGGACGAGCGACCATGTTGCGTTTCTGATCGGCTGCTCATATTCCTTCGAGGCGGAGCTGACTGCGGCCGGACTCCCGCCACGGCAGCTAGTACTAGGGAGAAACGTGCCCATGTACAGGACGACGCTGAGGCTGTGTCCGTCAGGGGTGTTTCGGGGAGGTACATACGTGGTGTCGATGAGGCCGTATAAGCGGCGGGATGTCGAGACGGTGAGGAACATCACGAGGAGGTTTGGGGCTACGCATGGGGAGCCGCTGGATTGGGGGTGGGAGGCGGTGGAGAGGCTTGGGATTGAGGATATTGATGGGCCGGAATGGGGGGATGCGCCGCTGGATGGAGATGGGAAACGAGCGTTTGGGGAGATGAGAGGTGGAGCTGAGGATGAGAATGAGGATGAGGATGAAGAGATTCCGGTGTTTTGGGGCTGTGGAGTGACGCCGCAGGAGGCGGTGATGAGGGCCGGGCTGGAGGGGCTGGTGATGGCTCATGCGCCGGGGCATATGCTGGTGCTGGATGCGCGAGATGAGGACATTGCAGGGTGATGATATTGCAAGATGAGGATATTGCAAGATGATGGGGGTTGGTGATGGTGACTTTGAGTTGAGGGCTTACATTGAATCTTGTAAGTCACAATGGGGCAGTTATGCTTTGGTTGGTTTGGTCGCAATCTTACCTTTCTATCCCGATTCATTAGCCTTTACGTTGCATCATGTCTATTATTTTCCCATACAGAAGCACTTTCGAGAGAACATGATACGAAAAGTAATTGTTGATGACGTCCGATTCCGTGTCAAGTCGACAAGCAATGTGGGCGGCACCACTATTAAGCGTCTTAGCGTCGGAGATGCTGGCCGAATCGATCATCACGTGGGTGCCTCTGGAGTTGATTTCCGGCGAGTTGCGCTGATTTCAACGACTATCTATAACGCTAACAAAGGGCTGAAGAAGCGCCATCTTGGAACGTTTGTTTAGGTCTGATCATCTGATGCATCTCTCGTCTCTCACGTGTCACGCTTTTTCTCTCTTTCATTGCCAGAGTTGTCAACCTAGGCGGAGAGAAGAAAAAAAGAGATCGACAACCACCACTAGCTAAAACTCTCTGTCTACTATCTGGGCACACTTTCAACCAAGCTGGAACCTGGCCATAACCCGATGGAGGAACCCCTCCTCGGCGACTCTGTAAAAACATCGTAGGTCTCAAAAGTTCAGCCTCACCAAGCCCACTACTAACACGCCAACCCGTCAGCTGTGAGCGATGCCGTCGCCGTAAGGTCCGTTCTGGATTCTATTCCAAAAATTCATCGCTCAAGTTTTTGAGGCTCATGTTTTGACTGTAGATAAAATGCGATCGAAAGCGTCCCTGTACAAGATGTGCCAAAGCGGGGACTGAGTGCGTCCTCCAGGGCATTGGAGAAAAGCAACGGTAAGTAGAGGCTGAGAGAAAGCCATTTCTGGTTTGCTGACGACGGCTTCGAAAACAGACCTGTTTCAAAGAGCTATATTCAAGCTCTGGAAGGCCAAATAACCGCGCTTGAGCAGGTCATCCGTAAGCTCGCCGTCGCCAACGGCGACGAGCGAGATCAGATCATCTCAGATCTATCCTTGGCCACGGCAGCTCCCGACGTCTCCCCACCAGATGGCGGACAGGCCGGTCCCGAGTCAGATGCCGGCCTTGCGGCTGCGCGGGTCAAATCTGGTCAACTGAGGCGATTGAGGGGAGAAAATGCGGCTCAGTTCTTTGGAGGAACAAGCGCATTGCAGATACACTTTTCAAAGGAATCATCCTCCTCGTCCCCGGCAGCGGCGAGTGCTATGGGTTTGGAGTCTTTGGCCATATCAACAGAGGGCCTGGATCCTAGTACTAACCAGAATCTCATCAACAGCAACGTGGGTCTGGGCGACCTGTATGGCTATGTTGATGACTTTGGCCTGAAGAGTGCCTCTTTCCAGTATGAGCCCCACCATGAAACTTCGCAGAAGCTCATGTCGACCTTTTTCTTGGAGATTTATCCATACAACATGGTCGTGTACCGCGAGTACTTTCTAAGAGACTACGATGTCGGATCTGGCAAATACTATTCAGACGTGCTGTTGTATTCCATATGCGCCCTGAGCGCGCTTCAGTACGATGACATGCTCAGCCTTTCCGACGTCTTTTCGAACCAGGCCCAGACTCTGCTTTACTCTAACCTTGATAGTCCTGACCTGACGACTCTCCAAGCCCTTATTCTACTTGGCTATCGTGAGATTGCTGTTGGCCGAGCATCCAAGGGCTGGCTGTTCTGCGGCATGGCTTTCCGTCTCGCGCATGAAATGGGCCTCCATCTCGATCCGACCAACTGGGAGGAGTCTGGCGAGTCAAGTGGTGAAAGAGAGATTCTGCGGCGAGTCTACTGGGCTGCGTTCATGGCTGACAAGCAACTCAGTCTATACTTTGGCAGGCCTCCGGCTCTGTACCCCGGCGAGTCGGATGTGCGGAATACCATCCGGCTGCGATATCCCCCTGGTTGGCAGGGTCTCCTTGAGACGTACATTTGCAAGGTGTCAGCAAATGAGTGGGATAACGGTGTTGCGCTCGTGGGCTCATTCATTTACAGGGCGGAATTGTCCAAGATTATTCATGTCATCATCACTGACTTGTTTGAGAATCGGAGAGGAGGCGCAGACCCGACCATAATCGCGACCAAGACGCGGAGAATACATGTGCAGTTGACCAAATGGCTCTCAAATCTCCCCAGCTTCCTGCACTGGAACCAATGGACGGTTGGCCAGGTGCCTCAAGTCGTTTTGCATCTTCAGTGAGTTTTTATTTTTGTAGTTTTTTCTGCATCCATTCAAGTCTTTCACGATGACTGATTATTATTTACTTTTTTTCTACCACTAGCATGATGTTTCACACCATCATGATAATTCTCCATCGGCCACCGTCGCATATGTTTGAGAAGCCAGGTATTGCCGACAGCGAAGACGTGGAAATCTGCTACGAATCTCTGCAGGCAATCCTACGTCTCATGCGAACCTTTTCTCGCTACTACCGCTATAGGTCATTGCCCTTGGACTTCGTGCACACGCTGTCCACCGCCGCGAGCACAGTCATGATGAAGCGCTTCCTGCAGAAGGCATCGTGGAGCGACCCGGACATTGAGCGAGCGCTGTCGCTCATCACGCTGGCCATGGACGAGATCCAAAACACCTGGCCCTGCGTGCGAGAGGTCAGGGACGTGCTCCTGCAGGCGCAGCAAACACAGGCGTCGATGCCGCCGGAGGATCCTCTGGATGCGCCGGATTTGATGAATGGGCTTGAAGTGAACAATGAGTTCTTTGCCAATCTAGGAGACGGCGATATTGGCACACTTATTACGGACGAGTTCTTGAGTGCGCAACTCCCGGGAATGGGTCTGGAGTCGGATCTGGAGCCATTTGATTTCAATCAGATGCCGGGACCTTCTTGAGGAGTAGGTTGTTAACGTTTTGTCTTTAACTCTTGGAGGGCTAGATCTCTTCTGTACACAGCCCTGTACTACCCCATCTTCACCTCTTACATACTTGGACCCATACTAAGCATGACCACGGCACATCACTTGTGGAAAAAAAAAATGTTCCGCGACAAGATAGATCATTGCTGCTCTCAAAAGACCTATGTCAACAGATCTGACAAGTATGTAACAGGTGGCTACTATTAGTAACATATCTAACGTTACATGGCAGCCCAGAAGGCTAGAGAGAGTGGTCAAAAGTGATGGATCGGACAAAGTTGCTCAGACACCTAGGAGAATGATGCCATGCGGAGCCGTGCAGATCTTTGCTTGGGGGAAGGCCCGGAAGGGTGATTCACCGCTACGTGAGCAGCCAAACAGAGCTGTCGGAAGTTTTGAGCAACATGCCGGCAGTGGGCCTGACTTTGGTTGAATTTCCCAAGAGATGGACATATTGTATGTTCCACAGTTAGAGTGTGACACACGGGCAATCGTTCCGCACAGATGGCTATGAAACAAAGTGTCCCGATGGTGGGTGGTATTTATCATCTGCACTGGAAAGGGATGAAACATGATACAGAGAATATATGACCATAGATGACCAAGGATTCATTTCCAGGCCTGGACATGGAAATATTTCGCAATAGCATCAAGACTTGCAGATTCGCCCATATACAAGCATCGGTTTCATTGTCGTACAGTGACGGAAGAACAGTAATAACGTACCTCACGAAGTACTAAGGTAGGTAGGTGGGTAAGCAGTCTTCTTTTCATGATCAAAGTAAACAGTACGAAATGGTAGGTATTGTGTATCAGCCGTAAAAATTACTAATACGCCGATTAAGTCCTCATCCTTGCCGCGTGCCCCAACCTGCACTCCATACGGAATATGTGCAGGGACTCAGTTGATGTTTTGATATCCATTGTTCGCCGATCGTGTACAACGTGGTGAATGTGACCGAGACTGCTCAGGGTGAAAGCACCGCGCTGCTAAATATAGCAAACGATATTGCCGAGCCGAGGCCCTGCGTACCCATGGACAGAGCCAGGACTTCGATACTGGTTTCGCTCTTTCAATGGCCTTTCCAGGTTTATTTTCGCGAATATCGTACCATGCTCGGGTTCAAACCTGGCGATGCCTTTGTTGCAGCCTAGGAGCGAGAGATGCAACGATGAGTACGTGGTACTGTAGAGGCGATG